TCAGGCAGTCTCTCTTTCGGATTCTGATAGGCCCATTGCCACGTTTGTAAGGGATTATCTTGATTGCCGATTAGTGTGTGGGAGGGTCTAACCCACAGTGGACGGTACCATCCCTGGGCAGGTGGGCCTGGACTGTATAAGAAAGCTAACTGAGCATGAACCAGGAGTGAAGGAGAGAATAGGTCACCAAGCAGTTTTCTTCCCTGGTTCCAGCTTCTAGACTCCTACATGGAGTTGCTGCCCTGACATCCCCAGTGACTGATGGGGATTTGGAAGTATAAGCCAAATAACTCCTTTACTTCTGTAATGTGATTTTGGCCAGAGGGTTTTATCACTGCAACAGATCGAAAACTAGAAGAGTAGCCAGTGTGATTGGCATCTGTCTTCCCTCATCTGTTAAATGGATGTAATTTTATTGCTTTTCTAGTTTCTGTTGTTTTAAAATGTATCAAATGAGATGCTCTGTTACAGTACCTGGAGGAATAAAGGTTGTGAGCTTTATTTGATACACTATCACCTGTTGTGTTGACTAGTCTTACATCAACTGTCATACAAACTAGAGTTACCTAGATGGACAGAACATTAATTGAAAAATTGTCTCCGTAAGATCCAGCTGTAAGGCATTTTCTTAACTAGCTATTGATGGAGGAGGGCCCATTATGGGTGGTGCCATCCCTGGCTGGTGGCCCTGGGTTCTGTAAGAAAGCAAGCTGAGCAAGCCATGAGGAGCAAGCCAGTAAGCAGCACCTTTCCATGGTCTCTGCATCAGCTCCTGTGTCCAGGTTCCTGCCCTGCTTGAGTTCCTGTCCTGACTTCTTTCAGTGATGAACCATGCTGTGGAAGTGGAGAACAAATAAACCCTTTCCTCCCCAACTTGCTTTTTGGTCATGATGTTTTGTCACAGCAATAGAGACCCTGACTGAGACATCTGTTATTGTTTATCTTTCCTTAGACACTGTTTTATCTTTTACTGATTCTTTTTAGAAGCCCTCCTGTAAGATTCCTTTGACTGAGGGAAACGAGAAACATGCCCTTTAAAGCCTCACACAGCTTGCCTTGCTGTTTGTAGAGATCCTTCAAGTCTCTGTGGTCCATACCTCAGATAGGCTTTTCCTTAGCTCAGTGTGACCTCTGGTTGTACTGATGTAACTGTAACTTTGTGGAGGATTTATGTCTAATCTTCTCTCCATGGCCTCAGATACAAATCTGTGACTGAAAAGCACAGGAATGGCTAGGGGGTAGCATTCATGTGCTTATTCCTTACAGTAAAAATATTTACAACATACAAGTGACCATCCCTGAGTTGGACACTGGTAAACAGTCAGGATAGTGCCACAGAAGAAAATGGCAGATGATGCTCAGCCTTCCTGTCCTGCTGGAGAGCTGACTTCTAAAACTTAAAATAACTTCAGTTCTCATTTGAGAGAAAACAAGGTTTTAGTTTCCTTCTGAAAACAAAGACTTCTTACGTAAGTCACAGGACAGCTACTTGTCTTGGGTTTTGCATGAATCTTTCGCCAAAACTTTAGATTTCTCTTTGAAACTATATAGTAGATCATACTTTATGATTTAATGTGAATTTGGTGCAAAAATTAAAGGAACTCTGAATTACATTTCTTCTATAGTGGAGAAAAGAATACTGAAGATGTTTCTGTTGTTGTTTTGCGTTTCACAGATGCTATACATAATGTGAAAATATGCTTTTAATGGAATTAAGAGAAATATATACTACAGGCCTTCACTGCTTATCTTACTGTTGATCATTTTGACAGCATAGACGATTTTAAACATCAAGGTGACTTATTTGAATTGACAATGATCTTTTGCAATACTTTACATTTCAAAAAGTAAATACTTTTTGAAAATTTCAAGCTAACACACTCCTTACCCTGACTGAGGTGCTATTTAACATTGAGATCTTATTCCTTTTCATCTAATTATGAAGAATTTAGTTTTGGTCTGTGATTCTTACTTACTGTTGAATAGCAGTCACCTATCAAGGCGAATACAAGGCAGGTAGCTCCTGGCGCGGTTCTGACAGGCATCCTGAGGATGCAAAGCAGGAATTTTTCTTTGTACAACATTCTTTTCACTGAAAGAAAGCTCAGTTTTCTGTAGCTGTATTTGATTTTCAGTTTGATTAAGTGCTGGAGACTTAATGCTATCCTTGAGTGCTTGGCATGCCACCTCTGAGGGCATACGAAGAAGGAGTGGGTGATTTTTTTCCTGGTAGGAGTCAGGGATGGGCTGAACCAGTGCTTTGTCCTACCCCGAGAGAATATGCATTGGAGATGATCATGTGGCTAATGGTTCAGTTAACTTCCAGCCTTTGAGGAGGGAGAGACCATGTTTTCCGGTATAATGGTTCCTAATCTCCCAATAGTGTGAAGATCTATTTGCTCATACCTCTTGCAGTAAGTACTCTCTCAGTTTTTTAAAACTTGAGTTTTTTCTTTATCATACACGCTGTGATTTTATATGTAATTTATTAATTTCATGCATACTTTGAAAGGATAGAAATAGTTGAGCGATGTTTTATCTTATATGAAGCTTGTCTCATCGTTTTCCCTTAGAAGGAGGAGAATGAACACTTAAGACATCAGGCAAAATATGTAATAAGTGAGGAACTTAGAAACTGTGTGTAGCTGCCTAAGATCCTACAGGCACTGTAATATATATAGTACAGAGGTGGGGAAGTGTTTGGGTTTTCTAGTATCTGTTTAGAGGACTGAGTGCTTAAATCTCATAAACTTAATTTACACGGTTCGTAAATCAGGCAGGCAATAGTGTGTGTTCCAGAATTTAGCTTTGCTATTTTACCCTAGCATATGTTGTATGTAAGATCTACTAGCTTCAGTGACCTTTGTGCCCTTTATTGCTATTTTCTCTGACGCTTTTGTAGAATTAGAATTAGCAGTAAAACAGACAGATCTCAGGTGACCTAAGAAAATGACTGTGTGGTGGCGATGTGCTGTGTGTACACAGAAAGGTGGGTTGCTTTACATCCCAGTCAGAAACCCTTGAATAAGCTTCTCTTCCTGCTTCTCAGTGCTACCTAGAGATGAATATTTATAATGAAATAAAAGACAAACTTTCTGGATCTTAAACCACATAGTATGAATGTTTGAGTCATGAAATAATGTTTATATAAGCAGAATGCCTAAGGTTAGCTGGGTTTTTCATTGTATCTGTTCTGTAAGAAGTCCATCTAAACCGAATTTAAATTAGAATTCCGTTGCTAGTCAAACACACATTATCCACATTGTTTCATTTTTTTTTCATATGTCTGTGCTTTATCCCAGGTGCTGAGCTGATAGTACAACTGATTTATCTATGATGATTAGATTCTGGTCTGCAAACTGCATGTTATAGGATAAATATAGCTCTGGTCATAACATGGCCAAGCTATTTGAATAGAATCAATTCAAGGATCTCAGAGCTCCATTTTATTCCTTTTCTCTATCATCTCTTCATTTTTTTCACTACAGATATTTATTTGCTTCCTTCCATACTCCAAGCAGGCTACTAAGATGCAGTGGGGAGCAGGAGAGATTCAGTCTCTAGCTTGCAGAAGCACAGTCTGGTAGAAAAGATGGATATTATGAAAACACATGACTACTTAAAAATAAGAGTTATACGTACCATTCACTAATGAAGCCTGTAGAAGCTTTCTTAGATTATAATAGTTGTGTTCTCTTTTGCCCACCCAAGAGCTATTGCTCACGGGTGCCTTTCCTCCCCGAGAAGACACGTTCAACCTCTCTTTCCAGGTGGGACAGTCATCTCTCTTCATGGCTGGACCCAGGCTTTCAATGTGGCCCTTCTCTATGCAGGGTGACAAGACAGTGAGATGAGGGAAGGACAGCCCACAGAGACTATTTATTTATTCATTTATTTAGGGTTTCATTTGCTTGTTTTGAGACAAAGTCTCACTGATAGCCCCAAGATGAACTTGGACTCACTATGTAGCTCAGGATGGCCTTGAACTCCCAGCAATCCTCCTGTGTTAGCCTCCTAGGTGCTGAGATCATGTAACATACAAGTATGCATGCATGCATACTTACAGGAATAGTATGTATACAATGAGAAATTTCAGGAATTCAGAGGTGATGCTAGAATGTTTTCTAGTCTGGATGATCAGCTGATGTTTCTTGAAAAGAACTTCTGAAATGATTTGTGAAAAACAAAAGGGACTTTGATAAGCAAATAGGGTGGATAAGGCTTTCCAAGTAAAGGGATGGGATAAAATAAGACAAGAAGGTGTGGGATTTCAAGTCACCTTTAAGGACTAACACAAGAAAAATAGAAAGAAATCATCCAGAAATAGTTACAAGGAAGTGGATAGAATCAATCATTAATAGATCATTAAGGCATTTTAAACACCTGTTAAAGGATATAGTGAACTAATATGGTGACTCCCAATATTTCACCAAAGACCTTCGAGGAAATAATTGATCATCACTGTTGAGGATAGCGGGGAATTCAGAGCTCAGCTGGCTCTGAAACTGTAGTGGGTAAGAAGTGGAGATGACCTGAAGGGTCAGTGTTCATCCGTTCCATCAGTGTTTAGGGTTCGAAGGAAATTTGCAACCCTGCCCAGAACTCTCCCAGTGAGCATCTTCGGAGTGAATAGCCCACTAGGCCTTCCCTCTGAAGTCTCAGGGAGCTCAGTTTCTGACTGGCCTCACAGCCAGGGTTTCCTGATCTAGTAAGAAAGACATGGTTGCCTTCAGAGAGCTTGAACACAAATATTTAAAAATGGAAAAAATCATAATAATGGGAAAGGGTGCAGATTTTGCTTGACATCACCGCAAATATTTCTGAACTGATATTAGATTTATGAATAAATGACATTCCAGTCTCTGAGTTAAATATTTAAAAATTCCTTTTTAGAATTCATGTATAATGGAGAGCTGATTTTTCTCAGCTGCACATTTTTCACTCTTCATTTCCGACTTTTAATACATTGTAATTATTGTTCTTATCCCATCCTTTTTCAGTTCCCTGCATGAAAAATTATTTGACCATTGCACACAAACCTTCTGTGGAAGAAGAAAAGGAAAATCGGTGTGCGGGGGGGTCTCATCAGGAGTAGAGCTGATGCAGCTTAAAATAATGCCGAAAAAGAAGCACTTCTCTGCAGGCAGAGTGCCCTTGATCCTCTTCCTGTGCCAGATGATTCGTGCTCTGGATGTACCTCTTGACTGTGAGTATTGACAGTTGAGATCTCCGAGGCCAGCAGGCAAACTCTCCCAGTAGTTACCATCACCCTGAACTGTGTTGCTGAGCAAAGTGTCCGCCTGACACTGAAAAGCTAATCAAAATGAATTTGGCTTTTCCCTTCAGCACCTGGTGTTTATGAAGACACTGCAGGAAAGGCCGTGGGACTGGCTGGGCATGCTGTCCTCTCTCTTCCGTTATCTCTCTTTGCGTCAGGTGTCTTCTGTGGACAGTGGTGGGCGTGGTCTGAGAAGGGACTGGTGCAGCTGCCCTGATCTTCCCCATGGGCCACCCTTTGTGGAGGACCATGAGAACCACTTTACATGGATGACGCAAATCTCCACTTATTGTCCTCCTGGTGTCACTTTTTCCCTTAATTGCTGAGGCATCTCTGAAAAACAAAAAACCTAAAGGATGGTCTCGCCAGCCCTCTGTCCCTTTATGTCCTCACATCACCCATACTTCAGACGTTGTTTCCTCTCATTCAGACAGACAACCTCATTTCACTCTCTCATTTTACATCCTCAATGTGAATTCAATTAGAAGAACAGCATGTCACCCACAAGCCTAGTGAATAGTCTTTTTTTTTTTTTGGCTTAAACAAAGACCCAGTTGTAAAATCTTGGTACTAAGGCAAGACCTGTAAAATCACTGACAGGAAGCAGCTACTGTGTTTCTCTCCCTTATTTTCCCAAAAGTAAAATGTACACCACTGCCTGGTCTGAGTGGTTTGTTTGTAGACGATAAAGATAACGCTGGGTTCCAGCTGGATATGTTCCTGCAGCGTGAAGCAGAATTTCATATCTGCACAATTACTGCACTTCACAATTGATTTACCCTCTATTCCCAATCTACATGACCTCTTTAAAGCCATTAGCTTCCTGAGTAGAACATCTGTTTGGCAAGCTTTCTAAGGTGCAAGAAAGATAGCTATTTCCTGGGGCCATGCCATTGCTGGGGTGTCCTTTTCCGCCATAGAAGCTGCACCTGGCAGCGGGAAGATGAGACAGGGTTTCCTGCACACTCAGCTCACTGCCTGGACCACGCGTCTCTACACTAAAGCCCAACAAAAGTGCAACATTTTCATTTTAAGAGTTATTCATCCAAAGACGTTAATCTAAAATATGTACATATATATTTAATTGAAATGTGTATTTGCCTGAGCCTATTGGAGCAGGAATATTTAAGTAAGCATTTGCTCTAATAGAGGGAAAAGCAGCGAGGGAAATGCTTTTGTTCTCTCTTGTGTTAAATATATTCCTCGTTAATCTGACTGCTCAATCTAACTATCAGGGCAAACAGGCACCTAGGGCTAACTCAATTATGGCAGCTAATGGAGAAGAGGCACAAACCATGATGAAAATAAAGTCACGAGCAACCTAGGCTCTCCTGCATTAACCTTTGCAAGTAGTAGTGACAGGCAGCCTGTCAGAATGATTGGAAATGCGTGAAAACACTTCCCTGTTCCACACACCCTTTCTTCAGCACACACAATGATCCTACATCCTCAATCTGGGAGATTGAGGATTGCGAAGCAGAAATATACTAATGGCATAAAACCGTCTTGGAGAGTAACCATAGAAATGTACAAATCTGAAATCAGTGTTGGATTTGACTTGGATGGAGAGTTGTAGCAATATTCCATTGTTAGGTATCATTATCATGTGCATTGTGGTGTCTGGGATAATAAGATCAGACACTACACAGAAAGTGAGAACTCAAATTAATTGTAGATTTCATCTGTTTTTCAAATTGACCATAATTATCAGTGCAGCACAATGTGTATAGGATGGAATTAGCTATTCCTATTCCTGGAAGTGTCCCCTTCCCCCCTTTTCTTCCTACAGCATAGCCTTTGTTCTTCCATATGCTGATGTGAGAAGCTGCTGCAGGGACAGACAGAACTATGAGTGCCAGTTTCTTTCTCTTGCAATGTCACAACTTCAACTTTTACAGTATGGTTTTTATTCTAGATCAAACCAAGTAGACAGGATGCCCCCTTTTTATCTTTAGGGTGCTAACATTCTCATTACTAACATCTGATTTTCTTGAATCTTCTTTGCCCACTCACCTGCTGATACTGATGGGAAAAAAGCAAAGCTTCTTGGCGACTGTAAGTGTATTTCTACAAATTACTAGGCAGTGTGAAGATGTGACTGTGCCCTTGCTTCTTGAATTAACAGTGTGAATCAAGCAAACACCATCACGCTTTGTGATTAGTGTCTTTTTAAGCATGTTGCTTACTATAGCCAAACACCTTATTTGAATGCTAAGGTACAAACATAATAATATATAACCTGCATGAATAATGGAGACTCGATAATACTTTTGCCAACTTGCTATTCTACTAATATGCAAGCTGTATTCACATCTGATGTAACTCAATGAGAAAATTCAGAACTATGTAGGGAGGATGATCTTTTTTTTCAAATGTCATCAACTGGAACCGACACACCATTTTTTGCAGAATTTTGGAAGCTGGGTGTATGCAGAAGCTCAGTCAAGTCCTTCTTCTATGGCTTCAGCCTTCAGAACTGGGTAGAACAGTGGTCCTGGGTATTATAAGTAGAAAAGCTCTGCAAATTGGAAGACTGACTTGAAATACACAGAAGGTAGAACACTTCAGCTAATTGTTCCTGGGAGGCTTCCTATAAGTAAAAATTTCTGCTGCTTCTGACAGCTAGGTAGCATTTATCATCCAGTGAATAGATGGTCCATTTTCAGACATGTTCCTTTGATGTTGAATTAAACAGAGAAATCTTGGTAAGTCACTTATTACTACAAAGCATTTATTAATTGTCATATGACCTAGCAGTGTTCAAAAAGATACCTCCAGATGGCAAACTCCTGGCACAGCTGCAGGCACAGGAGGGGAAGGCCTGCATTTGAAACCAAATTTGCATGTCTGGCACTCTCTTACCCCACCCACCACATTCCCCCCCAAGAAGGACTGGACTGAATGACTCCTAAGAATCCCTTCTATCAATGTCTTTGTTCACCATTTTGATGGTGTAGAACCTCAAAAATTCATTTCATTATCCCAAATGCTGTACTCCCAGAATCTGAGGTTGATCACTCCGAAATGAAGCTGGCCCAAATTAGAATCATGAGGCACAACAGGACAGTCCCAGTGCTGGCATCTACTAAAAATTTTATATAACATGTGTTACTAATTCTCCCAGTTACTGTTGGAGACCAAGTCAACTTTTAAACCTTCCATCCCCTCGGAGGGCTTACGGGGTAGAGCCTCAAGTCTCCCAGCTAATAAAAAACAGAGAGCCACTAACCCTCAGACAGAACTGCTGACTAACACTGGAAATTGACAAGATAAAGGCGGGAGTGTCCAAAGTGCCTGATGCAGGGGAAAGCAAGATGGAGCAGGATGCTTCATTGCACAGTCCCAAAGATGCCGCTCACTCTCTAGCATGTTGACATTGGGGCCCCAGTAAGCCAATTGTTGTGCTAGAAACCTCATCCAACTACTGAGGGATCTGGATGCAGAGATCCATGACTAGGCCCTGGGTGGATCTCTGGGAGTCCAATTAGCGAGAATGAGGAGGGTTTATATGAGCGAGAATTGTTGAGACCAAGGTTGGATAAAGCACAGGGACAAATAGCCAAATGAATGGAAACACATGAACTATGAACCAATGGCTGAGGGGTCCCCACTGGATCAGGCCCTCTGAATGGATGAGACAGTTGATTGGCTTGATCTGTTTGGGAGGCATCCAGGCAGTGGGACCAGATCTTGTGCTCATTGCATGAGTTGGCTGTTTGAAACCTGGGGCCTACGCAGGATTGTTTGGCTTGGCCTGGGAGGAGGGGACTAGACCTACCTGGACTGAGTCTACCAGGTTGACCTCAGTCTGTGGGGAAGGCTTTGCCCTGGAGGAGATGGGAATGGGGGGGGGGGGGGGGGTTGGGGGGAAGGTGAGGGGGACGGGAGGGGGGAGAACAAGGGAATCCGTGGCTGATATGTAGAACTGAATTGTATTGCAAAATAAATTAATAAAAAAAAAAAAAATAAAAAAATAAATAAAAATGCAAAAAAAAAAAAAAAAAACCAGTAGCCATGCAGAAAGAAGGGGAGAATTAGTTTCTGCTTGGGGCCTTCCTGGTCAAGTCATTAGCCTCTCTGAATTACTAACAGAGGTGGAAATCATGGTCTCTCTAGTGCTTTCCCATTCTAACAAGAAACCTGATCTCATAGAAGGGAAGAGCCCAGAGTGGTCTCTGTTCTAACAAGAATCCTGATCTCATAGGAGGAAAGACCCTAGAGTGGTCTTAGAACAACTTGGAGAATGCTCTAGGTCTCTAGATTGAATTTCTCTGGGTCAAAACAGTTGTCTTTACAGTTTCACAGTAAAGGACTGGGTAATAATTTGAAGAGCACAATAGAAACATGGTTCCCTAGAAAGGAGAATTTCAATCCCATTAATAGCCCAAATAATAGTGTTTTCTCTTCATTCCTAATTCATCTACCCCCTGACTCTGATAAGGCAGGTCAAGGCTCCAGTTTAACAATCTTTTTTAAATATGAGCATGTCAAAAGTATGTTTCCCTGGGATATATTAATTTACATAATTAGCATACTAATGAGTTCTATGTCAGTAACTCTATCCTAAAAAAGAGTCAAATCTACCTTATAACTTATTTTGAAAGATATCACTTGAAACAAAAGAACCATGAATTTCTCATTGTTACATCAGAAAAACAGTGTTTGAATATTAGATTTGTATTAGTAATCATTTTCCCAGACTTTTAGTCTGGAAAATGGACTTTGCAAGTGTGTGTGATGTGGCCAAAGGGAAGTTGTGTCCTAACTTCCCAACTTTAGGTGAGTTTTCGTTGAAAACCTAATGGGGATTTACAGCTACAACAGAAGTTACTAGGCATATTTGTGGCATATTTAGTCTGAGGCAAGTGATTGTAATATAGAAAACATGGTTGCTATCATTGATAGTAAATCATTTATTTCTTTACATTATTCTCCCCTTTTACAATTTAGTGGTACAGCCTCCAACCATCACCCAACAGTCACCAAAGGACTACATTATTGACCCTCGGGAGAATATTGTAATCCAGTGTGAAGCTAAAGGGAAGCCTCCTCCAAGGTAAGCATGCCTCCTGCCTTGATAGCATTTAAAATAGTAGGTAATCTCTGCAAATGTAGAAATGTTTGGAATTGTTGATAGAATAAGGAAGATCATGTGGAGCAACTTCTTTTTTAGTTGGATATTTCTCAGTATGAGTGGCAGCATGCTCTTTTGTTTATCAACTCCCTGGCTCATTTCAGCGCTTTAAAGGTGTTTAATGTGTCTTCTTATGTCCTGCATATCTCTAAAGTATCAGTTACAGGTTCACTGTCTCATCCCTCAGATTAATTACAGCTTGTTTGCTGAAGCATAGATTTTTGCATTTTTCTATGTAGTAGTCCAGTAGTATGGAGAATTCTATAGAGCTTGATTGTTAAAAATGAAACTTTAAAGGACTATTACATTGTAACTCTTAATTCTCATGTCTTAAATTGTAACTAGGCATAATAATTTAAAATAACAAAAGAATGAATGTTTTAGATATTTTATTTGCATGTTTATATATTATAAGCCTTATTAATTTAGAATCTGAGAAAAAAAAACTGCTTGGTTCTAGATACCTGTGTATATCAACACTTCCATCAAAGCTTTACTCCAAAACAGTAGCCCCACCATATTTCCAAAAACCAATTTTCAAACAGGCCTCAATGTGCCCTTCACCTTCATTCTTAGTTAAGGCCATACAAGTATGGCAAAACTTTTTGTCACTAGTTAATGGTGGTGATTTTTTGCTGTGAGAATGAAGCTGTCCTGTATTCTGTGGGATGTTTACCAGTGTCTTTGCCCTCTGCCCATGAGATGCCTGTAGCCTGCCCCATCGCTACCACCTGCCCTAGCTTTGGCAAGTATAAATAGTAAGACAAGAACTCCAAGTTGAAAACACAGGGAAGTTTGACATGTGCACCTCCCCGTTGTCTTACAATCACCAAGGTGTAACTAATTAGGACGTATTTAATCACATGAGCATTGCGACATTTATAAAAGGGCATCTTTTATATAACTAAACCAAGAAAAATGAATCTTGGTTGACAATTTGGCATATCTCCTAAAAATTTATATAATTATTTATAGAATTAAAAATTATAAAAATACACCCCATGTAGAAATACCACTTTTAATAACTAACATTTAAAACACACAAAGTCTTAACTCTCCTTCCTGTCTCCAGTTTGTATTTTGGTACCTCGAAACAGACCTGATCAATTTCCCACTCAAAGATCACACAATGCTTATGGAGGCCTTTCCCGTCACCTTTCAGCCTAGAGCACATTTTTACAGACAGCTTAACTGAGTGTGAACAATGGTGTTTCAATAAAAATGTTAATAAAGTTCAGAGACTATGCCTTGAAGACTTGTTTCTGTATTTTCTTAGAAAAATGGCATGCAATTTGTATTGAATTTGAGCTGATTTTAAAAGAAGTATGTACCTCAAAATGTAAAAACAGTACTTTTTTCTGAGTCACGATTTGGCACAGTATTTTAAGCAAGGGGACATTTTACTAAATATTGAAATCTAACAAATATTCCTGGAACTCAGTAAAACCCAAGGTTTTTAAAAGGGGTACGTAATCCCATTTTTCTAGATTATTAACAAACTTAACCCTTGATGTGTTGGGCAGCTTTTCCTGGACCCGTAATGGAACTCATTTTGACATAGACAAAGACCCTCTGGTCACCATGAAGCCTGGCTCAGGAACACTCGTCATCAACATCATGAGTGAAGGGAAAGCAGAGACCTATGAAGGAGTCTATCAGTGTACAGCGAGGAATGAGCGCGGAGCTGCGATCTCTAATAACATTGTTGTCCGCCCATCCAGTAAGTGAGATTTGCCAACCAAACATGACCTTTAAAGAATAGACAGTTGTGGTTATTTTGTAAACATTTAAAATTACGTATTTAAATTATACATAAAGAAATTTAAATTGATCATGAGTCTTTCCATTCACAGAAATAACTTCCAGTCAGTATTTTTCTTTCCGTGTATATGTATATAAAACCACTTAGTCTGAAATGCTATTTTACAAACTTTTTGACATTAAAATATGATATATATTCTCCTACAAATTTATAAGTGAGTATACATATATAATGCTGTATGAAATACAAATGTGTATATAGTTACTTATTTAGCAAATATGCTGACATTTAAGTTTTTTCCATTCTCTGTGGAGAACATGGCTTGCATCAAAGACCATGTCTTATTGATGTATTAGTGTGAATTATTAGACAGTGGATTAGTGGCTTGATTCATGCTACCAATGGCAATAATTATATATTGATATAATACATAGTATTATTACATATATTATTAATAATAAATATAATGATAAAGGAGATTTTTCTTTTTCTCTTGTTATAGTTTTTTAAAAAACTCTAACACCATATTTAAAAGTAGTTCTCTCATTATTTAATGTATATAAATTCTAAGTTACAATTTTCCAAAAACCTTGGCTACCTTTCTTTGTATTGCTATCTTCTTTTTATTTTTGCATGAAGACATAATTCAGACGGTTTTGGGGTTTTACTTAACAGGGTCACCCTTGTGGACCAAAGAAAGACTTGAGCCAATAACACTTCGTAATGGTCAGTCATTGGTTCTTCCCTGTAGACCTCCAATTGGATTACCACCAGCCATAATATTTTGGATGGATAATTGTAAGTCTTAACACTGGTAATTTTCTTGAACCATCTTGCAGTTATTTGTTGTCTTAACAATTTACCTCTTCTTATGAACCATAAAGTGTTTATAAAATGATGTGTAGATGCTCAGAAAAAACACCTGCTTACTGAAATAAGTTCCACACCACGTCATTCATTAACTGTGCCATGCACTGCTGTAGATCAGCAACAACAGAAAATATAACAGGGGTAAGCTGAGGAGGAAAAGGAGGCAGACAGTAAATGCATTTTGAAAATCTGTGTTAGTCAATGATAAATTTTATGGAAGAAATTTCTGGGGTGAGAGAGCACACAAGTAACCTGCCTATCTATGTGGAAAGGGAGCACCAGCGCAAGCCCTGGGGAGAAGCATCCCTAGGGTGAAAAACAAAACAAAAGGAGACAGAAAAAGCAAAGAAGGATGAGAGCAGTGTCAGGGAATCACAGGGACTCAATGGAAAGGGCTTTTCTCTCTGAATGAAATATGAAAATGTTGAAGGAGCACATTTATCTGAAATAAAATAGCTAGTAAGAGGATCATTTCCATTCATGTTGGAGCACATGGAGGGTGGAAGAGAAGTGGAGAGGGGCCAGGATGTGGCTCAGCAGGTAGCTTAGTGGTCCACCACTTGTCTAGAATCTATAAGGGCCTAGGTTCAATCCCCAGCACTTGAAAATGAGAGGGGGCAGAGACCAATTAGGTGTGCATTGCTGCAATCCAGGACATGCTTAATGATGACTTGAACTTGGGAGGTAGCAGAAGGGTGGGTCAGACTCTGGATATAATCTGAGTGTAGAGCCTCCACAGAGGGAGAGATAGGAACTTGAGGAAAGGAACCAGGGATGAATATGAAGTTTAGAGACAGAAAACTGATTGAAAAATAGGAGTATCCTGTCCTGAAACTATAAACTAATAAATGTGCAAATATATGCTCCCTTTATTTACGTGGCAGCTGTTATGGATTTTGAGGGAATAAGCAACAAATCCAATATAAAGGAATGATTTATGGCTTTGAGAATAACACTCTTCAAATATCACCATCAAAATTAGATGCATTAATCGTTCTTACTCAGAAATGATTTCTTGTTTGCTTAATAAAGAAATATGTCACATGGAAACTCTCCAAATAATCTGAATACATAGCCAATGCTTTCTGTGTGGCACAGCTGGCAATATGTATGATTTCATAAATTTTAAAATGGTAGCAAACCATCCGCCTTTCAAATTGACTTGCATCTGAAATATGAGGAAAAGCCGAATCCCTTAGCACTCTTGCTTTATGCATCATAAAAATACCCCTATCTGCACACCTTCTTTCCAAGTGTAATACAAAGAAACTCAAAGGGAAATCTCATGCCCCCTATTGATGTCCTTTTGCCTTACATTTGAGCTACCAGCATCCATTAGTCATGCAATTCAGGAGGAGGAAAAAAAAAAAAAAACAATAAATACCTGTCTTTGGTGCCTTGGATTCATTAAAGAAATGTCCGTTTTCTGAGACAGGGTCTCACTGAGTAGCCCAGGCTGATGTTGAACTTGTTCTGCAGTACAGATTTGCCTCAACTTGTCGTCTTCCCTTTCAGCCTTCCAAATAGCTTGGATTTCAGGCATGCACCGCCTGCCTGACTCTCAGTGTACATTCCTTTCCTCAATGTTTTAAAATCTATCCAAGCGGATTAGTGTCTTAAGACTATAAATTTCTAAGCCTCCACCTTGATGGAAACTTTTCTCCAGGCTCTGACCGCCAAAGTTACTGCTGGGTTTTAACTACATCTTTGCATCTTGTGAAGCATTAGGTCAGGTACTTGCTACTGGAAGAACACATATCCTTGCCTCAGGCTGAAGAAATCCCATCAGTAGATATGACACCGAGCCTGATGTTGCAGGGATGTGTGACTTGTCCAAGTCCCTCTCACCTAGGAGCTGAAGAAATCACAATTCAGGCTCTGGCAACTGAGTCCAGAGCTTCGGGATCCTTTTTGATGATCAGATGTAATCTTATACACAGATCAGTGGCTTCCACCTCTTCCCATCCCTCAGCCATGTAGGAAATCCTCTTGCCATGCCCAAGGCTAGCTCCTTACCTGATCCTGAAGGAGGACAATATTCTGGAAACTGGATTGTCAGTGTGCTGATGACTGATATTTAGCCCTTCCAAGAGTGTTTGAAGGAGACCTTGCCAAAGGCTGGTCACTTGTCCACAGCATCAACTTTAAACAAAAAGTGCCCGCCCTCCTGGCGCTTTAATTTTAGTATAAGGAGATGGCTGTTATGCATCCATATAATAGTAAAAGGTGGACCATGTCACAAGATGAGCAGTACATGAGGTGAGGGAGACCAGGTCTGGTTTCCTAGTAGCAGATCATAGCATCAAATAGTAGTATTATTGCCTGTTATGTTTAACCAGGTGTTGGCTGTTTGGTTCATCAATTAGATCGTAGGCTCACACCAGGCTGGGGGACTGTTGTGCTTGTCCCCTTGCTCAGAGCCCAATTTATGATAACATGTAACTCATGTTAATATCCTTACAGACTTTTCCAATGTGTTTTCTAAGACGTGTGTAATTAGAGACCAATTTGGATACTAGGAACTATGCAAACTTGTTGTGGAGCATTTTTTTGTTCCTACTTTCTTAATGAAATATTTCACTTCATGGCTCTAGTCCTATTACACTTCAAGCTCCAAGAAATTAGGATTGGCCAGGTCCAATAGAACATCTGTATCCCACATCTCAAAAACACAAAACAAAACAAAGCAAAAACCAAAAATAAAACAACAACAACAAAATCAAAAAACAGTTTTATTTTACTAAAAGGGCTATGAGTAATATATATTTTTTCCGTGGGATGTACAGAGGTATTAATAGATGGTTGTCCTGCTGATGTGGAGAATGGTAACTGTATGACAGAATGATCTAAGTATCTCTCTGTCTTCCTCCAGCCTTTCAAAGACTTCCACAGAGTGAGCGGGTTTCCCAAGGCCTGAATGGAGACCTTTATTTCTCCAATGTCCTCCCAGAGGATACCCGGGAAGACTATATCTGCTATGCCAGATTTAATCACACCCAAACCATACAACAGAAGCAACCTATTTCTTTGAAGGTGATTTCAGGTAAGAGTTCAGCCTTCTGGGTCTCTTTCAATGGTGTTTACATATGTGAATCAAATTATTAACGATTAAATACAGTTCTTACTCTGAGGTAAACTAGTTCAATGATGAGGAAAATTCCCGTGAAGGATCACAAAAGCATTAGCTTATGTGCTAGAAAAAAGCATGCTTACTCTAAAATATTGTGTTTTACATTTTTCACTGATTGCCATTCCTGTCTCTATGGCAACCTCCCGACTCTGTGGTGTTCTGAGCATTGGTGTATGCATTATGCCTCACAGCCTTTTACTGGCATTTTTCCTGTTAAAGTTGTAGTTGGGGGTGGCTGAGTGAATTAATGAGTTAGCCAGTATGATGTCAAGCCCTGTATTTACCTGGAAGGAATGGCCCTTAGCATAGGCGTAGGCATTTGTTTTTGTTGCCCGGTGGTTTTTTGACTCTTCTCCTCTACTTCTGTGCCCTCTTCATGATATTCTGTTTATTTCAGTGGATGAATTGAATGACACTATAGCTGCTAATTTGAATGACACTGAGTTTTATGGTGGTGAGTGACAGTGGTTGTAACTGATATTCTCTCCTTCATTGTAGACATTAGTTCACTAACTTCACCTCCATGGCTATTTGACTTTGTTTCTTTATGAAATTTTTAATTACATGTTTAATATCATTGTGTCAATGTCTGTTTCTTATGAGACTTAGCTATAAAATTTCAAACATGTCACTAAAACATTTTCCATGATGTATGTGTAATTAAAGTTGTTATAATTTTTCATGTAAACCATTTCATATGCTCTAGAAAAAAAAATCTTTCATATGTGTCCAGAATTGTATTTTCCATATTTTGTGCTGTCTAAAAACTTTTTTGCATGATCTATACATGAACTGACTGGTTGTATTAACCCCTAGAATCTCATCAGCACCTACTGTAACTAACATAGAGTACATTCCATAGTAGTTGTCTAACCTTAAGTTTTATATGACATCATTCAGTAGAATTAGCAACGGTATTGTTCTTAGCTTTGTTAGAAACCTACTCACTATCTTCTGTGGGGGAGTAAACTTTTAAAAATAGACCATTCAGCTTCATTGTTTTAAATTGAAAAGAATTTGATTTCCTTAAGGAAAACATGGATGTCAAGCATAAAATCTATCACTAAAAGTAAGGGCCTCTGGATATAAGGGCCTTCTTAATTCCCATAGGTAAAGTTTCTGCTGCATTAATTTTTTACCTTTGAGATATGAACCTTAGAGAATATGGCAGGATATAACTCTCACCTTTATTCATTTAATACAGTCTCCCAAATATGGGCCTCAAGAGCTTTCCCAAGGTGATTTTTAGAGGAGTAAGGTCCCCCAACAAGTTCTAAATCCTGAAGAAAACTAATTTTTCTTCAGCAATGCCTTTTTGGTACTCAGTTTTTTTCTTCTGAGAAATGAGAAATTTACATACTACTTCTTCATTGGTTTTAAGAAGCATCAAGTAGATCATTTGTGGTCACAACAATGAAAATCTACAGTCTTATGACATTTCCACTTGAAAATTTCCCGAGGACTTCAGTAGATAAGGCCACATTTTTAAAAATTCCATCAGACAAGAGGTGTTCTGTGTGAATATTTCTAAGCTCTCTGAGTTAGAGCCCTTTTATTTTGTCATTGAAAAGCTGATTTCAATGTGTTTAGCTCTGCTAATATTCTTTTTCTCTTTTTCCAAAGCGAGGGACCGAACCCAGGGCCTTACCCACTAAACAAACACTCTGCCAGGCAGCCCCTCCTTCAGCTCCTCTGCTTTTAATCTTCATTCCTGGCATGGAATTTGCCGGAACTCTGCCAGTAATTGTCTAGTTTTGTTTTATTTTTCACAAATCTTGCAGTGGAGGAATCTTGAGATATAAGTCAGTGGAATTGGCTATAATGTTATCTCCAGAATAAATCTAGATACTTTGTCCACAGTGATTTGCTGCTGAAAAAAAAAAAACCGAACCTCTTTCAAAAGACACACTCTTTGCTTTGACCTGAGCACCAGTCTTAAGGGATGTGCAGTTTGATGAGCTGATTTTCCTTTGTTGAAATTTTGAGAATTTACCAGGCCACAGAAAATCAAAAAGACCTAATTAACCCAAATTAGAGATACTTACAAGAGGGGCCCTGTCACTGGTTTGCTTGTGCGACCAAAATGTTTCTTTTCCTGCACACTGCATAAGTGTAAGGAGAGAGTGTGGATGCATAACTTAACAAATTTCAAAATAAGCATTAAACGGATTTGAAATTAGAGATTAGAATTTTAGGCAGCGTTTGACAATGACTGTGTTCCTAGAAACACACGTCCATAATTTTAATGTGTGTTGCATTTTCTTGTTTGCAGCTAAACCTAGTAAAGAGAGGCCACCAACATTTCTCACTCCAGAGGGCAATGAAAGCCTCAAAGAGGAACTAAGAGGAAATGTGCTTTCACTAGAGTGCATTGCAGAAGGCCTGTGAGTTAACACATTCTGTCCTGTTGCTTACTTCTTACCAAAATGTAAAAGACCGATAGACATTAACATCCCGGGAAGAACCATTGCCTTGTGCTTCTAATTTGACCAAAATTAAGAAAAATTTAACTAACATCTTCTGAGTAAACTTTGGATTCCATGTTATTGCTAAAATACTTTGATGTAATAGGGTTGTATTGCGTAATCTATGTCTGTAATCACCTTATGATCACTGTGCTTTAGTAAAGGGGTAGAATTTTGCTGCTGTCAAACAAGCAACCTCAGTACTTGGTAGCTTAAAAAATTAACAGCCACTTAGCCTTGATTATTTGTCTAGCGCTCTGGTGGGGGGTGTGGCACCTGAAGGTGGATTAACTGGGGTCATTACTCTCAAGGTCTGCCACATGGAGCACCTGACATGTTGGCGATGGATTTTTAGCAGTGGTACCCTCTCCTACTGTCTGTCATCAAAAGCACACAGGGCATGTCACAGCCTAAGAACTGTGGCATTGTCTCTTCTCTTGCTTCCTGAGGGCAGACTGTAAAGCCCATGTGCCTTTGGCAAGCATTTCAGGGAGTCCTGGGACAGATACAAGAGCAACTGTGAAGTTAGGTCCCTATGACGGGCAGGCCCTGGATCATCCTCCCATGGTGCCTGGCATCAAGCAAGTGCCTTTACCTGCGCGGAGCCGCTGCAGCTGGAGCGGGATCCCAGGAGCAAGCTGCCTTCCTGTGATTTGTGTCCTCTCTGACCTGGCAATCCAGTGATCCCGTCATCTTTCCTTAACCCGGGATAATTGCTTCAGGAGGCCCGTGGGGGCCTCTGCTGGCCAAGTCAGGAAATCACACTCAAGATGACAGTTCTTCAGCTTAAAAACTAACAACGTTCTTAAAGATATAACAACAACAACAACAACAACATCAATCTTTCCAATGCTTTGTTGATACCCATAGGAGGCCTGCCCCATTCTGAACAAAAGCAGAGGAGGATTGGGTGGGGAGGGGAGGAGGAGATGTAGGGGGAGAGAAGAGGAGGAGAGGAGGGAAGGGAAACTGCAGTCAGTATGTAAAATATATAAATATAAAAAAATAAATTTAATTTAAAAATCAGTCTTTTCTAACAGAATTTTTTTCCAACTTCTATTTTTATTAGTCAAGCATCAGTACAACATTTAACAAGTTTCATATCTTAGTACATTTTACATTTTTAGAGTGGGAACATTAAATGTTTTTTGTAAAGTATGCTTGTAATTTGAACATATAAAAAAAATCTGAACGAACTTTTAAAACATTGATATCTTGTAAAACCCTGGTGGGACGGTACTGATTGCAAACCAGGGACTGTTAGGCTTGGCATTAAAACATTCCTAAATCTTAAAGATTGATCAGTAGAGTAGGAGGAGCCTTCCATAACGACTGATGGCTTTGCTCAGTGTAACCTGCAACATCGGTGTCTAGCCCCACCCCCTCTCACCTCATCTGAAACACGAGTCTAACTGTAAGGAAACATGTGTTGTAGGATTCCACACATGACTAGTACTTCCAAACTAATCTCAGGTCTTCTGCAGCTTTACATGTTCACAGCATGTGTTAATTTTAGAAATTCCTTCATCAAGTTTAGAGGTTATCATTTTGTTCACCCAAACAAAACAAAGCCATTGTTACAAACTGTCATTACAAGCATGTCTCTTGCATCTCTGATGACAAATATAATGATGTCTTGAAGGTCTAGATCAGTCTTTCTTCTTTACTATCTCTCGAATACATGGCTTAGTGCATGTACACACACACACACACACACACACACACACACACACACACACATAATGTGTTGGACAATTTTTTTTAATTTTGCCTCATGAAAACTTTCCAAAGATATTATACGAGCAAACCATTCTTCTCATTAAGACAACTGGAGATGCTAAGGCCCTAGGACGTTGGGGAATCAAGGCCAGAGAAGAATTTAAGCGAAGATCTGAGACTTTGAGAAAGATCTAACTCCATGCAAGATTCTGACTTTTCATCATCGAACCATTTGTTTGGATTTTCCTGATTTGAAAGGATAAAATTGAGTGAGAAGTGGCATAACATTAATCTGGTCTCTTATTATCAATTAGCACAATGGTATTTTAAGTTTTCACGAATAATAAAGTGAAGGAAATCATTTTAACTCATTAATCATTTTATTTACATCATCAGTGTGTCATAAAACAGGAAGTTTCATCAGTTTGACTGATAAATGTATAAAAAAGTCCAGGGACACTGATGTGCATGTGAGTTCATTCACTATATTTCTTTAACTCTAGCTGATGGGGAATTATAATACAATATGATTAATTTAATAATAATTCTTTTGATTGACATGGTAAAAGTCTCTAGAGCATCCTCACTGACCAGAATTTGGAGAAAAGATTAGGTCCCTTTAGTAAAGTCACCCATCTTACAGTACAGCATCACTAAAGTCAGACTTACCGTATGCCAGAAATTAGGATAGTTCTAATTACCTGAAAATTGGAATGGTTTCAACTACAGGTTTTGAGCATTACTTATAAAAATGTGATGTTAATTGACAGGTCTACATGTTTGTCGTTATCTTTAAGCAAGTCATTGATTACAAACGTGCATGAAAATTCACTCTCCAAAACAGTCACAGGTAAGCTCATCCTTTGTAATGTCATTACTTATTTATCCTCACAGACCTACTCCAATCATTTACTGGATCAAAGAAGATGGAACACTTCCTGTCAACCGGACGTTTTACCAGAACTTTAAGAAAACCTTGCAGATCACTCAGGTTTCAGAAGCAGACTCTGGAAATTATCAGTGCATAGCAAAGAACACACTCGGAGCTGTCCATCATACCATTTCTGTCACAGTTAAAGGTATAACTCCACCTCAGATGCATTCTCCTTGCCTTTGTGGAGACTCTGAAACTTCATTTTGATGTGCCTTTGATCGTGTTCTTCAGTAATGAGAAGTTTAAATTTATATCCACGTCCATGGATCTTTTCTCATTTCTATTGTAATTGCATCCAGGCCAGATTAAAAATCTTCAAACCCTTCAAATCTTCTCACAGAACTACAATTAGTAAATGCAGAAGGAATGGTAAAAATAGAAAATCGCCATGATAGTCCTACAGTGGTAACTGCTTCAGGCAAGATCCAGAGAGGAATTCTAAAACTGGTGGGTGAAAACAACTTTAAAGAGAAGCAGAATATTTGCATAGCTTCAAAGTGTCCCTCTCTCCATAAAACAAACAAACAAACAAACAAACAGAAAAACAAAAACAAAAACCTAGTGGCTAGGACAGTTTAATTTAATGTATGTCCACTAATTCTTTAATACTCCTTCATGGAGGAAATGGCAATTATGTTCTGTCTTGAGAATGGGCTGTACTAGTGACCAGTTGTCAAAGAACAGAACACAGAACAATGGACAGCAGTAACTTTGCAGTGAGAGTACCTGCCAGATACTGCCTTAACCAAGTGATGAAGCTGAGCATCACAATAATAAGTCATTGTGCTTTCATGCCTTCCTTGGAATGGTGTGATCAGAAAGGACCCACCACCACTGTGATATTCTTACAGCCCTAAACCTGGAGTTAATCATGAGAAAACGTCAGACAGACTCACCGAAGGTATTCTATCAAATCCCACTAACATTCTTCTATGTGTCAGAATCATAAAAGAAAAGAAGAGACCAAGAAACTCCCTGGCTAAAGAGACTCAACCAGTGGAGATGGTGTGGTATCCAGGACAGGGCAATGGTCACTTCCTGTCTCATATATATCTACAATCCAGCTATATAAAATCTAGATATTAGAGGAACCTAAGCAAAGGAGAATAGAACACGCTGTATTCTATCTTTGCAACTTTTCAAAAATGAAAAGTTTTAAAATTGTTTCTCTATTTTCTAATAACTTAGTTGAGAGTGCAAGTTCATGTGATTTTCTTTGCTCTTTATAAAGTTTAAAGAATTATTATTATTTTTTTTTCATTCTAAAAAGTGAGACTAATGGGTCTTTTACAAAACCTTCATGATCTACTGCAACAGTCCAATGTATTCTTTTACTACATGTAAGATCTTTTTCTACAATACTTTTTGAGTCAGATTTTTTAAATGTGTTTTTCTTCTCTCAATAAAGCGGCTCCATACTGGATTTCGGCACCTCAAAACCTTGTGCTATCCCCAGGAGAGAATGGGACCCTTATCTGCAGAGCTAATGGCAACCCCAAACCCAGAATTGGCTGGTTAACAAATGGAGTCCCAGTAGAAAGTAAGTGTCCTTCTTTATCTTTAATGGGACATTATCGTCAAAGTGTATCTGTATCTCAGCAATAAATTCACGGTGATGAAATAATTCATTTAGGATGAAAGCTGAATATAAAGTTAACAGGGGCACTAAATCACCTTCAAAGTTTTTTAATTGCCTTTGGATAATTATTTAGAGTTGATTAAAATAAATTTTAAAAAGAACTTATGATGATCGTATGTGTATTAATGGAAACTTAAGAATATTTCTCATTTTTAACCCAGATTATGGGGAGAATGACAAGGTCAAAAGTAAACACCACTGACAGCCCAGATTAGCTTTCTTTGGAAATATCACAGAGTTGATGCAGGCTGACAGGGAGACTGGGACTTAGTAGATGACAGAAGTAAGAAGCATTGGTCTGGCCTTAGCTTTCAGTCTTGGGGAAAGCTCAAGTGTCCCCCAATTTTCTAATCTTCAGGGGTCAATATCCCACTGAACTCTCAAAGGACAGGGTCCTGGTCTTATCCAGGATACTCAGTCTTTTCCCACATTCTCTCCCTGAGTACTGTGAGGTTTTCCTCCAGGGATCCTTGAGGAAGACATTAAGACATTGGTTGTGTTTGTTACTGTCAACCCTGTTCTGCAGGTCAACTCCTCGCTCATTTTCACTAGCCATCTTCCCAAGCTACCACTATGACCCATTTAAGTGTAGCCAAGGGCTTTTCATGAACCCTCCAAGTCATAGTAAAGGCTCATTTTATAAAACTTGATTAGAGGATTAGGGATATTAGAAGGGAATTACAGCAAAGCAAAAAACAAAAACAAAACAAAAACAAAAACAAAAGAATTGGAATCTCATCTCACTGCTTCTGAACTAAGGCATGATCATACAGAGAGCAGCCAGCTACCTTTTTCCTCTGCATCCTGTCCTCCATACAGTGGGAGGCCTTTGAACATTTCACATTTCTTGGAATTCAGAGTTCCTATTAGATGGAAAGAGAGAGGGAGGGAGAGAAGGAAGCAGAGAGAGAGAGAGAGAGAGAGAGAGAGAGAGAGAGAGAGAGAGAGAGAGAGAGAACAGACAAAGTCTGTTTCTGCTTCAAACCCAGCCTCAGCTGCAGGCTCACCTCCCAGTCATTAAGATCAGATGCAAAGATGCTCTTTCCTTGATAAAGATACTGTCATCCTTAGATAACAACCTGGCTCCTGATAGTCTCCAGCTGAAAATCAAATATCACTTCTACTTCCACATAACCAAAAGGTCCTTTGAACTGACTTTCCTAAAACTGAGTCTTCCTCTGGGACAGAAGATTCATCCCAGAGATGAAGATGGCCAATAGATTTACTATTAATATGAGGAGCGACAACATGTTCCTCCTCACCAGGCACAGCAGCCCCGGGTTTATTCTGAGTAATTTCACCCTGTGCCATGAGTGTTTGCTGGAGTATTTATAGGGAGTTTGCTTATGTCACAAAGCACAGTAGTTATCAGATACTTGGACAGAAACAGCTTGTGTTTACTGCAAAAGAAAATATGTTCTTGGAAGAAAACTAAGTCTAATGAGGCCAATAATTGGTACTGATATTTATGCTCCAATTTTAATTATGATCAGAGCAGGAAACGCCACAAATCTTACCTCATGGCCATATATCAAGGAGCTTCTGTCACTCCCAGGGGGTTGTGGTGACAACTGAGAGAGTGAAAGAAAGCCCAGAACTGAAAGATGTTTTGCAGTACGATTATGGTTTTCTTAGGAATGCATATAGAATAATAAGAGCCATAATGAATACTCAGCATTTCTGCACCAAAGGGTTTGCTTTTTCCCAGCTCAGTGGTTCTTGGTGATTTGTAGAAGGTTAAGTGTGCTCCTGGGATTTAGACTCAGCAAAAACAGACAAGTGGGAGGGAACATCCACCTTGCTACTCAGTAGGAAAACTGGGAGAGCCAGGGGCTGTCCAAGAGAAAACCTCCCAGGCTGGGCAGTCAGGATACAGTCCTAAGCAGGGAAAATTGAGAAATTAAGTGATGAGGTTGATCTTTCCTCCTGATCAGTTTATCATCCTTCCAAATTGGCTCTCTTACTCTGCTTTGCTGCCATAACAAAGTACCTTGGGCTTGATAATTTATAAACAACAGAAAAATTATTACTCCTTGTACTGGGGGCTGGAAAATCCAAGTGAAGGCACCTAGTGGCTTCTAATGCTGGTTCTTCCTCTGTGAGTGTGCAGTGACAGCAGGGACAGTCCCCCTCGAGTCTTTTGACAAAGGGCACTGACCCTATTTGTGAGAGAAGAGCCCTTATGACCTAGTCACCTGCCAAAGGCCTAAGCCTTTGGTCTAGGACCATCTTGAGTCTTGGGGCTCAACATATGAACTTGTGGGAGCTACCAACCTTTTCAACACCAGCATAGCAGCACCTGGGGGAACCTCGAATTCTATTAATAGTTGTATTATGAGTTTTGAATGTGTCATCACATGCACTCCTCTTTACAGTTAAAACTAGAGGAGAGGGTGTTTGGAGAGGGCAATTATCTCAGGGGAACAAGTTAGACTCTTCTACAATTAACTCCAACTCATCCAATTAGGTCCCAAATAGAAAAAGTTAGGATAAAATCTGTCAAATCAGATTCTAAGTCAGTTCATTTTTTTTCTATCTCTGAAGTGTGTTCCCTTGGAAAAGAAGCAAGGAGTCCACATAGGTATGGTAGGAATTGCACAGCTCTTCCAGATTCAGGGTGCCCCAATTCAGGGGTGTGCAGCTCAGAACAGCCTCCCTGGTGGGCATTCAGGGAGGGGAACTATGTACATCAGGGCAGCATAGCAAGTGTTCTTGCCCACCCTTGCTCTGGGGAGCTACAAGCAGCTGTTTGTTGTCTCTGTCAGAGAGACATGATGCTTCTTTGAGAGTGGTCAAGCTGGAAGTACAAGATCTGTTTCATGGACATCTTATAACTGAGGGTGATGAGCTGGAGGGGATCCTACATGGTTCTTTCACCGTGTCCATCCCTGGCCCTCAGGACCTGGTCTCTGGACAGCCTCTGTTGAGTGTCTTCTTTGAATGGAAAATAAATCATAGACAGCTATGTATGCCCCAATGTGTACTAGATTCCTCTAATCCAAAATAAAGTGTTAGGTGAGAAAACAAAGCACCAAAACAAAGCAAAAAGTCAGTAGAGTCTTGAAGCAGCATGCGCCATCTCCTTTCCACTTAGTAGCTGACCATGAACTTAAACAAGACTGCCTTTGAGACTTGTGAACTGTTCTGGAAACAGGCCTGGAAACAGGCCTGGTGCTCACCTCTCATCTGTAGTTTGTTGAGTTTTGCATCCAGGCCATGGAAGATAACAGAGAGATACAGAGGTAGAAAAAGAGAAAACCGTACAGTGTAGTGGCCCTGAGTGAACCCTGAGGATCACTGACCTTCAGCAGAGCCCAACAGAGGCTCCAGAGGTTGGCCTGAGGCCCATGCTGCCCAGTTGGCACCACCTTTCACCCAAGAGACTGCTGAAACTGTAGATGGACCAGCTGCTGGGGTGAAGGGTTGAGGAACAGCTGTGCTTCTGCAGTGGCATCATTCAGGGAATCAGGCAGCATCCTTGCCACGTGCCTCAGGTCTGCTTATTATGGCAACCAGCAGAGACACAGTCAGAGACCCATGTGACCAGACACACAACATGCCTCTCCTGATTTGTTGGCAATCATTCAAGAACTCTGACTACTTCATAGGCTTCAAACTACAAAATTGGGACTATCAGGGTGAGATGGAGGTAAGACTGGGTTCTGCTGGCAATATGTGGTGTTGATTTTGAGCTTGCCTTCAGACCTGGAACCTACTGTTTTATAAAACTTGTAGGATTAGCTCCAAAGCACCTGGATGCATCTCTCACTGGCTTATAAAGATCACCTCATTTAGATCACCCAGGTACTTAAAATTCCTTGTCACAAACAAGATTATTAGATATAGAATTTGTGCCTGAAACACCCAAAATATTTTTAAGCAGTCTATAGTGGTCAGAAATTACATAGCTATAAGAGACCCACAAGAGACCTCACATATGATCTGGAGTGCTTGAGAGAGTATGAAGTGGAACTTGGGATCAGAAAGAGAAACTCTTTATAACCAGCAACAGGAGTATTTCCCTGCTCCCCTAGAGAGCCAGTGTCCCTCCATTTCTCCTTTTCCTCTTTACCTTCCCCATGAGAGCCTGTGCCTTCCCCGTTAGTGGTCCCCAAGGCCGAGATCCTGAGCACCACAATCCCTGCTTCTGTCCTGGGAGGCAGTGAGAGGGACTCTTACTTGCTTTTCCCATGGAACACATAGAATCTCTCCCTTTGTTAAAAGGCCCACTCAGCTCTGATCTGAGGAGGGATAAGAACCAACTTGATAAGAAAGAGTGGATCTCCTCTGACACAATTACACATTGTACTTGAGTAACACGTGAAAACAGCCAGGGGAATGGAGACTTAACCCAGAATATTTTCAAGACCCTGTCAAAGCCTCTTCCTTCCCCCTTCTCTCGAAGGTAAAGGGCTCTGTTGGCAGGACTTCTTAGGATAGAATAGCCAGGAGAAGGGGAATTCAGCTCTTTGCCAAAGCTGGGCTTTACGTCATATCCAATTGTTTATACTCCAGGAAATATTTCTAAATTTGACTAAAATCAGAAATCTGGAACATTAATTTCAAACTATTAAATTCGTTTGAATTTATTATAAATTTAACAAACTATTAAGTACTCCCATCTACAATTTTCATATCTAAAATGTATTTAATATTTCATGAAGTTCTAAAAAGAAATTATGCAATTACTCTAAAAGTAAAATTATGCAATTGATATAATAACATGTTAGAGATTGACAGTACTCAGTATTTATAAGACATTATATTTATTTATTATTATTATTTTTATACTCCAAATATTGGAAACATTTACAGTCTTTGACATTCCTTTCAAGAGAATCATATTTTTTAAAAGTTTTCTGAAAGGCTGTCACCCCACTGTTAGACCTCACCCTTGGGGCTTAAGTTATAGATGTGGGATGTGGTTGTACACTCTTATGTTTCTTTCTTTGGTGTTTATTTGCAGCAAATGAAGTCGCTTGTTCCTAGAAATTAATTATTATTCCTTTAGATGATTTGAGTTTGCAAGTTGGCGAGTTATTCCCATCTGGTAGCCAGTGTGAAGCATCCAAAGGTTCCCAGTGGCTCTGCAGCAGTGACTCTATTTTGTGCCCAGCTACCCACTGAGCCACCATATGTCACTGCAGTTCCTAGATTAGCTTGCTTCTCTTGAATGACTGCACAAGGAAAACATAATGCAGACCTTCATGGAGAGAGAGAGAGAGTTGCTTACTCATCACCTATACCTCAAGTCCAAGTTTGTTTTATTCCTAAATATTATGCCAGAAATAAGTATCTGAAAACTGCTCCATTGAGCACAAATGAGGTAGATGTAGTCAGATGCCTTTGATACTGAAGAAAAGTGAATTGTGGGGCTGCAGGGTGCTTTGTTTGTGGTTGATGCATCTCCACTTGGGAAAACTGTCCTTATAGCTTTGCCAGTTGAGTTTGGTATTCATGGTAGTATCAGTTTTGTTGTTATTATGGTGGTATAATACATACACAGCATAAAATTTATTATCTTAGGGTTAAGAATATAACTTAGTGTTGAGCATTTGCCTAGTATATTAAAGGCCCTGGACTCACTACTGCTAACTTAACCTGGGAATGCACAATAGAATGGCATTGTATACATTCACATTCATGTGCAACAATCCTCCAGATGATTTTCATCCCATAAAAATTGAACTCTGTACTATCAACTAGAACATGGTGATATGACTTTAAGGTTTCAGATGTTCAGGGATGTGAGGAGGTCTCACTCTATGGTCTGTTACCCATGCTAAGAGTTCAGGCACTGTGCTCTGCCAGCATGTCATACTCATTACTGTTCTTCATTGCTGGGTACACCCTTGGAGGTGCAGTCAGGATGGGTACCAAAAGCCCCCCAGACAGCCCTAACACTGAATGTTCAAGAACTAGGTCCATCTGCTTAGAATAATCCATAGAGCAAGAGTGGCCAGGGGTGCTATTCTGTGTCCCACTATGCCTTGTTAAAGCAATAAATGGACATCCCTTCGAGTGTGTCCATCAGAAAGCCCCAATGATAGAAGGTTTGGTAACCAGGATAAGGAACAAGGGCTTCCCTGAGGTGTACCATACTCTCAGATCTATGACTGTCTGCTATAACTGTAGGTCACTTTCTGGGACAAGGTAAGATATGTCCTTTGCTGTTATTTATTGATACACTCTATACTCTGTTGAAGGAATTATGACTCCTATTTGTATTCTGTTTGGAAGAAGGTTTTCCTTAAGGCACTTCGAAAAATTTTAATCAGAAATTGAAGATGTGAATTAAGGAGTCAATTCAAAGAATCTTGGCATACCCTGTCACTAGCAGAACAAAAATGTACCTACGATGATTCTCCACCTTAGCCATTGATTGTTGCCAGACTTTTGGATACTAATTTTCTAAGACTATCTATTATGCTTCTTTAGAAATAAGGGCATTAATTATGCTCTGAGAGCTAGTTGAAGTTTTAAAAGTCCTTGGAAGGTAAGAACTAGTCCTCTAGTTCAACTTATGATACATTGTTAGATTATTCTCATCTGGAACATCTAAAAGACAGTTAGGCTATAGGTACAATAGTCGGAATGTGCAATAACTAAACTACGAGCTCACAAAGATGTCTGAATCCCAATCCTTGGAACCTGTGAACATGTCACCTTAACAGAGCAAAGGGGGGGACTTTGCACATGTAATTAGGAGCTTTCTGGTTTGGAGATTCTGATGAATCTGCTTGGGGCCCAGTTTCGTTACATAAACCCTCAAAGGTGTTATGCCTCTCCTGGCTGTGGCCAGGCAGGAATGTGATTACAGAAGGATGAACAGAAAAAATTGACACTGATGGCTTTGGTGGTGCTGGGAAAAAAGAAAACATGGGCTAAGAAATTAGGAATCCTCCAGAAAGTAGAAGAAACAAAGATGTGGATTCCTCTGCTACCCAAAGAAGGAGCAAGGTGTTCCTGGGACCTTGACTTTAGCTCAGTGGGATCCTCATCAGGCATCTGACCTGGGGAACCAAGAGGTAGTGAATTTTATCTTGTTTCAAAATACCAGATTTGTGGTAAATTGTAGACATAAAAAAACTATCACAGAATGAATGCACACAATGCTTGGGCATGTACAACAGAGGAGAGTAACTGTAGCTGGATTTGTTTTCATTAAAGTGAGTTAATAAGCCAGAGGTGGCCGGGCGGTGGTGGCACACGCCTTTAATCCCAGCACTTGGGAGGCAGAGCCAGGCGGATCTCTGTGAGTTCGTGGCCAGCCTGGGCTACCAAGTGAGTCCCAGGAAAGGTGCAAAGCTACACAGAGAAACCCTGTCTCGAAAAACCAAAAAAAAAAAAAAAAAAAAAGCCAGAGGTGAGCCAGATACTTTTATTTCAGAGTGATAATGAAGTCTCAACGCAGTGATACACAACCTTTTCTGGTCACCATAGAAAAAGAAATGTGTTTAGACTGGATGCAAAGCCCCCTTCTGGTTTCCTTGTGCAGTTTCAGGGGAAAGGATGCTATTATTGACTTTGATTTTGATCAGCACGCTAAACAAAGTACTCTTCAAATAATGTGGGGACATGGTCTAGGGTTTAGCATTCAGAATAAGAAATTTCCGTGCCACAGCACAGCACTTGCACATTGTCTGCCTTGCTTTGGACTAAATCCTCTCACATACTGTATTACCCGGCCAGCTTCATCCAATTTCAGCACAGATCAGTCCTGGTCTTAACATGTTTTAAGTACTTGAGGGATTTAGCTGGAAAAGGTCTTTAAGAGAAATTTTATACAACTGATTTCTCCTTCAGCCCCAGATGTGTGCACAACAGGAAAATGGATATCCCCATGTTCCTGACTAGCATGTTCTCTATGCATGCCTTTATTCAGTTATTTGTTTCAAGAATAGGTCCTCAAAGGGGACAGGTTTGAACAAGCCAGCACATTTCTGCATTTGTTGATAAGCTGTTACTCCCTCCTTTGGATGATTAACTTGACTCCTTGTAAATAGCTGGATTCTTCATGAACAGGACAATGTTTTCTCCTGAATTTGCTATTCTTGCCCAGCTTGGGCTTGATTTTCTGCATCTCTCCAAGCAGTCTTCACTGTTAAAGATCAATCCATCAAGGCTGAATGAACACTGTGCATATTTGCATGCATGTGCTTGATCACTAAACCCTGCTTGGATTCTTTTCCCTTTACTGATGTGCTTACCTAGATCAGCCTGTATTTCCTTCCCATTCGTGTAATATGGATCTCAAGATTCCTACATTGAATATATATCTTTTAAGCAGCAAAAAACTTACACTTTTTATTTTTACATCCAAACAGTTGCTCCCGATGACCCCAGCAGAAAAATAGATGGTGATACCATTATCTTTTCCAATGTTCAAGAAAGATCTAGTGCGGTTTATCAGTGCAATGCCTCTAATGAATATGGGTATTTACTAGCAAATGCATTCGTAAATGTGCTCGGTAAGTTCTCCCTTTATTAAAGATGTGGAAAGTTACATTAATGATTGCTGTTGTTTTCTACTCATTCATCAGAAATGCATTATGTCTTTGCTACCTGCAATGCATAGTGTTTCAAGCTACAAAGAATATACAAGGGTAGATAAGACACAATCTTGCCTTAAGGGCCACTTTGGTTTGTGCTTGCAGTTCCTTTATATAGTTTTTATATAGCAGATTCTTTGCTGCAAGAACAGACTGTTCACTGGTGGGTAGACTGTTAAACCATTCGAAATGAAAATAGTGTTTGTTTGCATTAGCAATGAGTGTGCCCACTCTTCCATTCTTAGATAGTTGTCAGTCACTGTTCTATTGCAGTGACAAAGCACCATGATCCAGGCAACTTATAAAAGAGAGCACTTATTTAATTTGAGGCTCACTGTTCCAGAGGGTAGTAAAGTCCATGACCATCATGGTGGGGATTGTGGCAGCAGGTAGGCAGGCATGGTGCAAGAACAGTAGCTGGTAGCTTACGTGCTGAGAGATAACTGGAATGGTGTGGGCTTTTGAAACCTCAAAGACTACCCCCAGTGACACACCCCCTCCAACAAGGACACACCTCCTCATCCTTCCCAAACAGTTCCACCACTGCAGACCAAGCATTCAAACATGTGAGCCTATGGAGCTGTTCTCATTTAGCACCACAGAAACTGACAAGTTCAAAAATATCAGAATTCCAACGTAAAAAACTAAACGGTTAATCATAAGGCTTAGCTCTTATTCAAGTCACGGATATGCATTGTTTCATGTGTAAAAATATGCTCAAAGAACTGTAAGGAACTATGATGTACTCAAGCGTATTCTGAAATGGTTGGCTTATGTGAATACTGTATCTCTCATATTGGATAAAATTACCAAAAATTACATTTTTAAATTTTATGTAGGAATTGTTCTTGTGGTAGTAGAAATTATACTTGAATTCTTACAGATAGTGTGTTCCCTTTCCAAACAAAGCTAACAAAAGGAATCCAACTAATATTTGGCATTTTTCTTCATGTATGAAGCAATGGCCATAAGTCTCCCAGAAGCTCAGCAGTTGAGGTATTGGTGGATGTTGAGGAAGCAGCTTTGACTTCTGGGTTTCTTTTCATGCTTTACTTCTATCAATTCAACATCCTCGGGTTTCATATTTTAGGAAGATCAATACAATGTGTGTTACTTTAAGTCTGGCTTGTTTTGTTTCATACAATGTCTTTCAGATTCATCAGCATCACAAATATGAGATCCTTTTCTGTTTTTAAGAATTTTTATTTATGTTTATGTCTGTGTATCTATGTGGGTGCCTGCCATATGTGTGTGGGAGCCTGAAGATACCAGAAAGGGGCATCTGATCCCCAGGATCTAGAGTTACAACAGATGTGAGCCCCTTGACATTGGTGCTAGGAACTGGACTTGCATCCTCTGAAAGAACAGCAAATGCCCTTAACTGCTGAATCACCTCTCAAGCTTCAGCTCTCTTCTTTTTTTAAGTCTGAAAAAACATTTATGTGTCTCTTTGAAGACAGGCATTCTAGCAAGTATCAAGTGATGCATTCCTGTGGTCGAAGTTTGTGTTCCTCTTGATAATTAGTGATAGTGATCATTTTTTTTTTCATATCTCTGTTGGCCATTTGTGTGTCTTCTTTTGAGAAATGTGTATTTGGATCCTTTGTCCAGTTTAGAAAACAGTTTGTTTTCTGGGACTATTGAGTTATTTGAGTTTCTTATACATTTTGTGTATCTCTCTTACATCAGGCATATATGAGCAAATATCTTCTCCTAGTCTATGTTTTTTCTCTACATTCTGTTGATTCCTTGGCTGTAGAAGGCTTTTTAGTCCCCTCTGTTTTTCAGAAACCACACTCCCTACTCTGCTTTTCTCTGCCCTCTTCATGTGTCCCCAACATTCCCACCCACTAGAGTGATGATGGGTCAGTCATTCAGCAATGACATAATTTCCTGCCAGACACTGCCATGGATAAAATGATTATATAAACGCATTCTTTTACTACAAGATACCTAGTGTTAAAAGAGATACAAATAAGTGAATCCATAATGAAACAGCATAATGAACGCAGATTAGTTAATCAGTAATTGACTAACACCTGAGTAACATATTGAGCATGAAGTAGAAGGTATTTCTTCTATCTTGAGTGACTACTGATGCCACAGTTACAGGACATATGGGAAAAATCATGTTGGTTGTACTTTATCACAAACTTTAAGGACCTTAAAACAAAGTATGATAAGTATACTGTAAGCCTAAGATGTATCTAGTATTTACTATACCTTTCTAAAATGTTATAGCTGAACCACCTCGAATTCTCACATCTGCAAACATACTGTACCAGGTCATTGCAAACAGACCTGCTTTGTTAGACTGTGCCTTCTTTGGGTCTCCTCTGCCTACCATTGAGTGGTAAGTAGTAGCTCTATTTCTTTTTTCATATTTAATTCTAACTATGTCTGGTTTTAGTAAAAAAGCAAACAGGAAAAAATGCAATACACAATCCATCACATTACTAGTTACTAAATTCATTTACTCTTTCTCAAATATTTATTAACTACCCACTCTGTGGGTATAATAAATGCTTTCACCTATGTAATAAGTATACTACCAGAATGCTCTATTTACTACAAAACTTTATAGAAATGTTTTTTAATATTTAAAACTGCTGTATTTCACAATGCCATGGACATTGCCTAGAACTTTGTGAATAGTGTCTGAAGGACTGGTTAGGAAACCTGTTCTTGATAATAAAATAGTGTGGGGTTGGGGATGGAGAGTTAAGAATACTTGTTGCTCTCACAGAGGACCTAGGTTTGGTTTCCAGCACCCACTGGGTGGCTCCCATCTCTCTGTAACTCTAGTCCCAGGGGATTCTATACCCATTTCTGACCTCCCTGGGCACCAGGCATGCATGTGGTGCACATTCATATAACTGGGCAAAATGCCCATTTACATCAAATAACCAATCTAAAAATGGCATAGAACTGGAGGAGAGGTTGTGTGGGCACAGAGAGGACTTGTGGCTTGGTGCTTCACTAGCCCAGCAGAGCTCCTGTGACCTCCTCCCTCTTCTCTGACCATCCACGTTCACGTACCCGTCCTGGTAGGAGTCCTTCAGTTGCGGCTGGCTTACTTGCTTTAGAAGAGCTAGACAGGACAGGGGAGATGGGCAGCTGCTGAGAATGTTTGAAGAAGAGTTAGAGCAGATCTGTATTGATCAGCAGCTACTGACATGAGAGGGACAGCAGGGTTAGGATTAAAGAGAAGTCTCTCCAGACCCAACCTGACCTCCAGAGAAGAGAAACAGGGACACATAGACTGCCTAATGAAGGCGGTGAGATTAACAAGTCAGACTGACTTTGGCCCTTTTCCTCTGTCTCTGCTTCTCCCACATCACATACATGCTTTCTTTTCATTGCTAGTCATACTTTTAGAGTTTATTCCCCAGCCTTGAAATCAAAATGTCTTTAAAATTTAATCTTACCAATGGGAGAAAAAATATAATAAAAAGATCATCTCACTTTTACCTATTTTATCATCTGTGTAAGGTGAAAATAGGCAATGTCTTTATTCAATTATGTATCTCATAAAAATTACAACCCATTATACTTTGTTGTTCTAATTCTGCAAACTCCACTTACTTTTGCGTTCTTCTGTTTTATGTGCTTTCTTTTCACTTTCTCCTGACACGTCAGAAGAAGTGTGCTTGTGGAATACCTTTCAGGTTTTGAACGTTTTTGGTTTTATAACTTGAAATGTGAAATATCAACATATGTTTTCATCCCCACTGTACAAATAAGCAGAAATCCAATCTCTGTAGTCATTCCAAATGCCTTTGACCTTGACACTTGCTGCAGACCACACTCTGTTGTGTTTTATTCTCACTCTAACTTTTATAATGAAGGTTTAAAGGAACTAAAGGAAGCGCTCTTCATGAAGACATTTATGTTTTACATGATAATGGAACATTAGAAATTCCTGTGGCCCAAAAGGATAGTACAGGGACATATACATGTGTCGCAAGAAATAAATTAGGGATGGCAAAGAATGAAGTTCATTTGGAAATCAAAGGTAAGACAGAGTTGATGAGCGTTTTTCAAGTATTATATGATGTAGAGCAAATTCTCCAGCTTGGCCCCAATGGATAATAATAACTTTGAATTTTAGATCCAACCAGGATCATTAAACAACCTGAATACGCAGTTGTGCAGAGGGGGAGCAAAGTGTCCTTTGAATGCAAAGTGAAACATGACAATACCTTAATCCCCACCATCATGTGGTTGAAGGACAATGGAGAGCTGCCCAATGACGAAAGGTATTTCAAGATGCTTTCTTCCCTCTTCTTTCTCTCTGTAGACTGCTCTTGTGACAAAGGGTTACTGATACCATGTTTTCAGTGTCTGAAGTCAGCTGTCTGAAAAATTATGAGATAAGTATTTTCTTCTTACTGTAAAATGCTTAGAACTTAAAGGGTATTGAGTGTTTGAAACAAGAGCCTGAGAATGTCAGTCTTTGTCTGTTGATCTCCCGTGAAATTCAGGATGGAAAAAGCCCTCCAGATTTTGGACAGCATCCATGGTTGTATAATTTGAATGGTGAAGTCTCAGCAGATGTTTTCATCTGCACACTACAAATAAGCAGATATCCGATCTCCATAATCAGGGACACACCTGATTCTGCCAGTGTTTTAAAGAGTATGAGTTTTGAATTTGGATACTGAATTGATTTTTTTTTTTTAATTTTAACCTAACACCTGCAGAAGGAAAATAAAATCAAAATCAAGTAAACCATTTAACAGGGCACATTCAGTTCTATAGCTTGGAATAGAAGGAAGATCATGGCGTTTTCTACCTGGGGCCCTCAGTTTGGCCTAGTAAAAACAGCTGTGTGCATGATTTTAGCCATTCGAGTGGACACAAGTGATACCCACTGCTAGTAATGCTATGTTCTGATGGAGATGGCTTCTATGGTTTGCTTGCAGGTGACCTAAACCTGGGATGACTAAATGGTGCCCTACTGCTTGCTAATGACCCCACAATAGCTTTCTGGCCTTTCTCTCCGTGTACCCAAAGTACAAGTTTCCATCTAGTCAATTTTCTATGTGAAATCAGAGGTGGTAAAGAGAAGAGAACACAAAGAAATGATCACCAGTTAGACCAGCGGAGGGTGGACTGTAAGTTACTTAGAAGACAGATGACAATTTATGCAGTCTCCTTGGAACCATATGCGAATCCTGCGTGCATGATGCAAGTAACTTCTATAACCTCTTAGTGGAGATTCCTGATCTAGTGACAAGAAAGATCCCAATACTTTCATTTAGTTTCTGCAGTGGGCCTTCATACATGTGGGGGAAACAATAACAGCACAAAATTTCTGCAGTGAATAGGAACTTTAAAAAAACCTGCACTCTGGTGGAAACTGAGTGGAACAAAATAACCACAAAAGCCTAACTGAAGCACTCTAGTGGGGGTACGTCCGGAGCTACCCATCTCACCTCAGGATGCAAGCAGTGACTTTATCAACTAAAAACACAATTGACATATAGTAGTTGTACATAGTCATGGTATACCACATGATTTTTGTCCCCACCCTAGGAGGGTTGCTGCAGAGTCTCCTAAGACTCCAGAAGCCTGACAGAAAGCTTGTTAGAGTTAATATCCCTCCTCGCCTATTTGTTTTCCAGGTTTATTAATTACTCAAGTGATATATGGGGGCTCACTCTAATTGCTGAGGTGTTTACCTTTCCCATTTATCAAGTCCACAGAGACGCTTGCCTGCTGGGAAGGCAGTCCTCAGTCAGCTGTGTCTTTATGTCATTTCGACTGCTCTCCGTGTGTTCTGTTTACAGATTCTCCGTTGACAAGGATCATCTGGTGGTAACTGATGTAAGTGATGATGATGGAGGGGTGTACACGTGTGCGGCCAACACAACGCTGGACAGCGTTTCCGCCAGCGCTGTGCTCCGCGTTGTCGGTAAGAGCGAGAATGAATACAGCACAGCCAGGCTCTCCATACTAGGAGGGGAAGAAAATTGTAGAGGCTGAATATGTGTTTGTTATAGTTTCCTAGCTACAAGGGTGGGTGGTTTTCTCCTTCCAGGGATGTCTTTCAGGAGACAGTTTCCATATAAATTTGCTCTGTGTAGACATACAGACTGTGACAAAATGGTGATGCTCATATAAGTGACATTTATAAGAAAATTAAGGGAAGTGACCTAATACAGAGTCAGCGGGGTTTTGTATTCCTGATTTGTCACTGCCTACCTGTCAGTGCCACAGCTCACAGCTAAGTAGAGAGCTTACAAAAATAATATTGTGTTGCTTCTGTCTTCTTCTATGTCTCCATCACTAATTTTGATTAAAATCCTTTCTATTAATGTCCTTTCTAGCTCCTACTCCAACTCCAGCCCCCGTTTACGGTAAACTAATGAGTCTTCTCTTTCTGTCTTCTGTTAAGTAACTTCACACTTGCAGACACCGCTTTCTCTTCTCTGTCACATCACTGCATTTCTTTATGGAAAATGACTGTCAGTTATCATGGGCTTCGTTTGCTGTAGTCAGTTATTTCTTAAAACCTCATAGTGTAGTGTAAGGTTGGACCATTTTGCTCATTGTATTTCCAGTTGTTTCTAAAATTTTTATTTGCTATTATAAAATTATTCTATCACATAAAATCCCTCTTTGATAGCTTCCTTGTATGGAAGCATATTCATTTATCAAGACCTATCATCCATATTTTACAGAATGAAAAAACCATTTCTTAGGCTCTTTCTGCAAATTGGGTTTTCCTTGTCTCCTAAGATTTGTTTTGGAACTGGGGAGATGACTTAGTGGATAAAAGTACTTGCTGTGAAAGCAGGAGAACGTAAGTCCAAATCCCCAGTAGCCATACATAAACAGAACATGCCTGTAACTCTAGTGTTGGGGGACAGAGACAGGCAGATCCTGGGAGATCACTAGCCAGCCACCTAGCAGACATCATCTTCTGTGTTTTATGTGCTGAGACATGAGTGTGTACATACCCACACAAATACACAATATACAAATATAACACACCAATGATAATAATAAACATAAGAGAATACTATTTTGTTGTGAGATTCCATTTCTGAGCAACATACTCCCAGGGAAAACATGGGTGTTTAGAACATTTGACTTTTATGTCTGAGAAAACCTAATCATTTTGTGTTAAAAGAAAAGTCACTAGGAAATGAACAAAAGAAGGGACCTAACAATGTTTTGGTATTTTTTTTTTCTTTTGAGTCTGGAAAATAATCAGAAATTATCTCTAGAAATTTTTTTGTTTAGGAAACTCATTTTTATTCAACACACAAATACAAAACATAATTTTGTAGCATAATCTTAGCCTGATTTCACATAGAAAAACTAATCAGTCATTTTAAAACCTGCCCTCTGTGAACATTTAACACTGCCTTACTGATGAGAAAAAAAGAGCCCATATATTTATATGTCCTCTGGCCTCCTAAAAGTCAGACACACTTCCAGGAGCAAAGTTTTAAAAAAACAAAGCCTCAAGAAGAGAGTTAACTCTCAAGAGCATCATTCTAGCAGGCAGCCCTGCTTCTCGGTGACCTTGGTTCCAACAGTTGCTGAGAAGAAGCGAGCCTATGCATTCAGAGCGCTCCCTACCCTTAAAAACTGTCCTCAGGAGCCTCCAGATTGAGTTTTCACCGAGCCTCAGGACACTGACAATCCTCTGAACACCGCATGTCACTCGCCTGCATTTATCTCTCAGCCTTGACTGTTCTGCTTCCCTTGTGTTCTGCTGATGCTCCTTCTGCTCGTGAGAGGACACACACTGAGCATGCCGAGGACCCTTGCTCTGCCTCAGTGGATTTGGCAAACAGTGATTTTGTGTGTCTTGAAAAGGAAGTAAAGAGAACTCCTTGGTGGGTTGGCTTGGGTGTGCAGTGTTCTCAGCAACCTCAGTTCTGTCTCTTTCATTTCCATCGCATGCTCACTGACCAATAAGAGTGATATGTCTCTAAGGTGTCCCTCTGTGCATAGCATCACAGACAAAGAATGAAACTGCCTTTTAAAAAGACAGTTAACCATTTGTGTGTTTGCTCCACAGATGTCCCGAATCCTCCCTTTGATTTAGAATTGACCAATCAACTTGACAAAAGTGTTCAGCTCACATGGACCCCAGGCGATGACAACAATAGCCCCATTACAAGTACGTGGTGTGTTTGCTTTATAGTTGATAAACTTAATGGCCATTCCTGAAGCATTATCTCTAACAATTTTATGATCTACTGCTGTAATTCCTTGCAAATGCATTTACTGGCATTCTCTTCATCACTGCTGTTAGAACCATAGTATGGTGCTCTTCAGAGATGGAGCTGTTCCTGGACATAGCTGCTGGCACAGCTAATTAATTCCTGAAAATGTTAATTAAGCAAACACACTATCACTTGAGTTTAAGATCATTAAGAATCACCTTACATGTCTGCCACTGTCCTAGTTGGGGTTTCTATTGCTGCAACGAAACACCATGATCTAAAGCAACTTGGGGAGGAAAGCATTTATTTGGCTTACACTTCCACATCACTATTCATCATTAGAGGAAGCCAGGACAGGAACTCAAGCAAAGCAGGAACCTGGAGGCACGAGCTGACACAGAGGCAATGGAGGGGTACTGCTTGCTGGCTTGCTCCTCATGGCTTACTCAGCCTGCTTTCTTATAGAACCCAGGAACACCAGCCAAGGGATAGCATCACCCACAATGTGCTGAGCCCTCCCCCATCAATGACTAATTCAGAAAATGCCCTACAGCCTTGCCTACAGCCTGATCTCATAGAGGCATTATCTCAATGAGGCTCCCTCCTCTCTGATGACTCTGGCTTGTGTCAAGTTGACATAAAACTACCCAGCACAGATACAGTAGAGAGATGCATCTTATTAGTCAGTCATTTAATCCACTGCTTCTTGGAGGTGCTGAGAGGCTAGTCTAAACACTGGGAAACTGAACTTGGTGCTCTACTACAGACCTACAGTTTGTGATAGAATTGCTCATACACAACAGGTCCTCAACTTCTAATATGTGTGGTTTTTTCCCATTGTCCTTTGCTACAAAATGACACATTCAATGGTGTCAGTACCTCACTTTGATGACATTGGCAGAGGGAATAAAATCGGATGAGAGACCAAGACATACGAATACAAAAACATTTAATAAATCAGAATATGATAGTCTTCAAGGCTTGATTGTAAAGCTAAAGAGATACCCAAGAGAGCAGACATAGTCAGTCGTGAACTTGAAATACATTGTTCCCTCCAAGTGTGGCCTTCAGGAAGACCAACTACTCTCCCAGATCATTCCAAAATCATAGCAGTGTTGATTTATTGCACCTTCCAGCAGAGCGGAATATTCTCTGTTGTGATTGGTGCATCTGTTAACTGAAAATATCTCTTTTAGTTTTGCATGGGGGATTATGTTATTGAACAGCCACTACCATTCAAAGAGGAGAAAACAGACTGCTTACAGTAGCAACATCAAAATGTCCAGGAAATACCTTCAAATGATTAAAACCCACTGCAAAGAGGAAACACAGCAAAACCAGTGTACATGGCTTTGTGAAGTTCAGAGTTATTCAGGGTGAAAATGGAAGTGGCAAATGAATGGGATGTAGGAAGGAAGATTGGAAAGGAGAAAAATAAAGCTGGGTTAAAAGAAAGGAAAAAGGGAGAAATGGAAAAGAACAGTATAAAAGGAACAAACAGTGAGAGATTGGGAAAAAAAAGTATTTCCCAATAAAGGGAAAGTTTGAAAGTAAAAAGTAGCTAATTGGAAGGGGTAATAAATACAATTTAATACAGTGAAATGAAAGTAGCAAGAAGGAAGAAGAAGAGGCATCAAGGATGAAAAAGAAGACTAGAAAAGATGCAGCTCCATGGCAGCTTCCTGCTGGGTCATCTGATGCAGGAGATAGCTAGTCACAAGCACACAGCGGGAGGGTAAGGAGCTTGTGGACACTTGCCACTGGTTCCTTTGGTTTATGTTGCCCTGAGCCTCAGTAGATAAGTGCTGAGTGTCAGCCCCAGTGGTCTCCACTTTAGCAGCATCTTTTCATTTCCTAGCCACACTTAGCTTTGCAGTCTGTGAAGTGGACATGCTCTTCCCACCCACCCAAGACTTCTTGTAGCCCCAGGATGGCTAATATTTTAGTGCGGCAGGGAGTGCCTCCCAAGTGCATTTTGAGTTGTGGAAGAAACCACAGCACATAGATACATTCAGAAATGCTTTGCAGAGGCATGGTATTATCACAATAAGACATAGCAACATCAGGTAGAAAATGTTAAGTCCTTCAAGCCAATTTCATGCAGGGTGTGTTATACCTAAATACTGAATTTTTCACAGAGGTAAAACATGGGACACCACAGCATTCTAGCAGTATAGACTGTGCCGCCTGGAAAGGGTGTCTTCCTCCCACTCATGTCTGCAAGCTCCTCAGGCCACACCACTCTTAATGAGTGTGCACCTTCTGACAGGAAATCCACGTACCTCCAAGTGTATATTATCTAGCAGGTCTTTTTGCTGTTAGACAGGCATATCACCTAGCATGTACTATTCTAGACCCTGCTCAGTTCCATGTAACAGTACACTTAGAAACATCCCATTTCTGTCCATACAGAGCATCCTCATTTATAACAGGTGCAGAGCATCCCACAATGTATGTATGGACCATATTTGGCTACATATGCCCCACTGGCAGGCATTTAGCTTGTTTGTAACTAGGTTGCTTCAACTGCAAATCGTGCAGCAATATGGATTCTTTTGTATGGGTCTTTACCCCACATGGGTGAGAACATTTGTTCAAAATCAGTTGCTCAAAGACTGTGTATGTTTAAAGTTGTTAGATATTCTCAATTGTCCTGGATAGAGGTGTACCAATTTATACTTCCCAGGAGGTCCGAGAGTGTGTCACACAAAATGTTAAACATTTGGTTGTTGTTGATCTTCCTAGTGAGAAACAGCTCCTTAGCTGTGTTTACTGTAGCTACTCCTTCCTAGGACAATAACTGAGCACCTTTTCATATATTTAAACCTCCCACTAGAATATATGGATCAGGTCTAAACAGTTATAACTAAGCTGAGCTTCCCATAATAAGGGGGAAATGCCAAATATTGCATGTCCTTAAGTATTGAACTCAGTACCTGACAGGATTTTTCTTGAAAAAGAAAAATGACTTGTGTCTGGCTACTCTTGCTTGCCACAAATGATCTCTGGCAACTTGTCCTTAAGATGACTGAATTCACTGTCTTGGGTTTGTGGTATGTGTGGTGTCATGGCCAGAATTCATCATTGAATATGAAGATGCGATGCATGAGGCAGGGATATGGCACCACCAGGCTGAAGTTTCTGGAACACAGACCACAGCGCAGCTGACGCTGTCTCCATATGTGAACTATTCCTTCCGAGTCATGGCGGAGAACAGCATTGGGAGGAGTGTGCCCAGCGAGGCATCAGAGCAATACCTGACGAAAGCCGCAGGTAAGGCTGGAACACAGGGACCTGACATAAAACAGAAGGGTTTTTCACTCCTTCCGGAGAGCCAAAGCTTACTCATATGTGATGGGTTCATTTCTAGAACCAGATCAAAACCCCATGACTGTGGAAGGACTAGGCACAGAACCCGACAACTTGGTGATTACATGGAAGGTGAGCCACGAAGCCTTTGTTTGCCTCAATCTTTTATTGACTGAGCAGAAAAGGTTGTTTTAGAATAATGTCTGCCTTTATATTCCTTTTTGGCTATTGTGGAGAAAACATTTTATCTTTATTTAGAGGCAGTGTTGTATAGAGTTCCATCTCTGGGGCCAAAATGGACAGTTGAAAATCCTAGCTTTGGTAAATGTAGCCAATTACCAAGTATCTATCAGTCATCTGTATGGTGAGAATAATAATACAGCTGTGTAAGACTAAAGGAACTGATGTATGTGAAATACTTAGCATAATGCCTCACACAAATGTGTGCTCAGAACATGCTAGCTACTGTTACCATCAGAGAGACCATTTGGAAGACATGCATCAAGCTATTTCTAGTAGTCAAATTATTATTATAATCATTCTTATTTACCTTATCTGTGTGTTCTGGATCTGAAAAATGAACAATTAGAGTACAAATATTTATTTGTATAGTTTCAAAACTTATCTTGGATCTAAGCTTGTGCATATGCATATATGATCGAACAGACAGACCCAAGTTTTTAATAGAGAAACAGTCCATAAGTTTCCGTCTCCAAGTGAACAATGATGTGCAATGACACAAACCGGAATACGTAAAGTAAATCTAGATGACTAAAGTGTTGTAAGATTCACCCACACTCACCTCTGGAGTCAGTCTTTGGAACCTTTATGTGTGTTATTTACTACTTTGGAATTACAATTTACAACCTTTGAAAGTTTAGTTCCAAGCAGACTTTGGATTTCATCACAGATTAAAAAGAGAGAGAGAGAGAGAGAGAGAGAGAGAGAGAGAGAGAGAGAGAGAGAGAGAGAGAGAGAGAAGATCCCTGGAGAAGTGGGTATTGAATAGCTTGCATTTAGTGTTTGTTTCAGCATTCATTTTCTTTGGTCTAGGAATTGGATTTGCTATTCCTGTAAAAGGTTGTACAGTCATTCTATCTGCCTTTTTCCCTAGCCCTTGAATGGGTTTGAATCGAATGGGCCTGGCCTCCAGTACAAAGTGAGCTGGCGCCAGAAAGATGGTGATGATGAGTGGACGTCTGTGGTTGTGGCCAATGTATCCAAATACATTGTCTCTGGCACACCAACCTTTGTCCCATACCTCATAAAAGTTCAAGCCCTGAATGATGTGGGGTTTGCTCCAGAACCAGCTGAAGTCATGGGGCATTCTGGAGAAGACCGTAAGTGTCCTCTGCTCTTTCCATTCTACCCTTGCCCAGATGGACAGACCTACCAAGTCTGCACACTAAGGCTATTCCAGAGGATCCTAAGCTAGCAAGGGAAGAGAAGTAGTAGTCATTTTGCTTATTTCTCTGCATTTGTATAGCATACTCTGTGATAAATAGTGATTCAATGCTAGGGAAATGGCTTGCTGGTAGAGCGCTTTCCTAATGTGTATAAGGCTCTGGATTCCAAACCCAGAACCTCCGGGTGTGTGTGTGTGTGTGTGTGTGTGTGTGTGTGTGTGTGTGTGTGTGTGTGGTGGGGGACGGGGAATAGAAGTTTACAATGTTAAAGAAAAAGTTGCTCTCATGTTCGTCTGATGAATGAATTAATAAAAATGTCTACTTTTAGCCATCATCAATCCATAGTACAGGACTCGATTGTATAGTGTGGAGTGTGTTTCAAGTCAAAATTATTGAATATTGTGACATTTTTGCATGAAGTAAATAACCTACCATTACCACAACCACTTCTTGTCTTGTTCCTAGTTCCGATGGTGGCTCCTGGGAATGTGCGTGTCAATGTGGTAAACAGTACTTTGGCAGAGGTACACTGGGACCCAGTACCTCTGAAGAGTGTCCGGGGACACTTACAAGGCTACCGGGTAGGTGAAGGGAGATACTTCGTGTTCTTTACTTAGTAGCAGGGCCATGGAGGGCCACTTGTCACGCACACCACTTCAGGTTGAAATTGTGTGGCTCATCTGTTGATGGACTTGTGAATTCATGAGTTTCTTTGCTCACTGCCTCCAGCCACACCAAAAGAACCCAGCTACCATTGACGAGAAATCTCGTTTATCCAGGGTGAGAAAATGATGTTTTATCTACCTTTCACAGGCTTCCCACCTTTTCTGGAACATTCTACCAACTGAATAGTCCTTGTGACTCATTTTCAAAGAATTAGACTAGAACAGTTTGCACCTAGCTTTACAGTTATATAGACAGCAGTAATAAATCTGTGCTCTGATCTGGTTCTTGGGAGGTCAGAGGACAAATTTATTAGTACGGCCTATTACAATTGGACGAATTATACTTTAAGACTCTGTAGTGCATAACCGAGTCATCCTTATGAACATTAATTATCTTTATTTTCAAAAAAGCACAGAAAGACTGATTCCTAGAGATTTTTTTCATATACAGCCCCAGACCCCACATACATTTCTATCACTACTTTGACTTGACACTGGCCCCTAGAGGATATTTCTTGTATTGCACTGTATTTTTTTATTTTCTAATATTAACCAAATTTGGCATATGTTGGCTTACCTTGATAAGATGCCTTTAAATTCCTAAGAAGCCTTCAAGAAAATGTAATATGCAAAAGTTCTTGACTTTTGATCAAAGTTAGGCAACACTTTGTTTATCTTTCCAAAACCCATGCCTGCAATTCAAAAGTACTTTTATTAGATGGTAGTGTAGCCTAATGGACTAACCCAAGACTTGCAGTATAGGGTCATTGTGGCTTTGGAAGAATCTGTCAGGAACCCATAAGCTCAACAGTACCACAAAAAATATTAAAAGCCTCACTAGGGTGAGGATTAAGTTAAGTGATGAGCTAAATGTGTAGAACTAAACAATGGACAGTAAAACTTATACAGCTAAAATACTTAAATCTTCATTATGATCATTTTTCTCATTTTTGAAAAAAGCAAGTGAGTCCCATTCTGTTTCCTTTATATTTCTCCAACAAAATAATAAAGCAGAGCTTCACTGTGTAGACTTGTTTCCTCATTATCTGTGGTCTTCTGTCCCTCTTGTCTAAGAAGTCCGTTTTACTAATACTCATGTAAAATGAACCAAGATATTTTTCTGAGAAAACAGCAGTTCTGCTTTTTAAAAAAAAAAATGTGTGTATGCCTGTACACATGCATGTTCACTCCTCCAAGTACATAGGATGTGTGAGAAGGGCATGTGTGGAGTCAGAGGACAACTTTGTGGAGTTGGTTATCTCCTCCTACCTGTACGTGGGTTTAACTCAGGTTAACAGGCTTTCACATAGCAAGGACCTTTACCAGCTGGGCCACCTTGCCAACCCCAGGGCTTTGGTTTTGTAAGCATGGGGAGTCATATTGTCTTTCTGTGAGTCCCTGACTTTGGTTCTTTCCACTTCAGATTTACTACTGGAAGGCTCAGAGCTCATCCAAAAGAAACAGACGCCACATTGAGAAGAAGATCCTCACCTTCCAGGGCAACAAGACTCATGGCATGCTGCCAGGGCTGCAACCATACAGTCACTACGTTCTCAACGTCCGAGTGGTCAACGGGAAAGGGGAGGGCCCAGCCAGCACCGACAGAGGCTTCCATACTCCAGAGGGAGGTAAGCACTGGGTGTGTCTCTGGGATCAAGGAGCAAGGGGCATATCCTGAAAGTTTTTGTACTACAGAAGGCCCACCATTGAGAGAATACTCTAGGAGCTACCTGTATGATTACAAATAATCACAGCACACATAAAGCTGGCAGAATGTCACCCACATATGACTAGTGGCCGCACACAGAGCTTCAGAATCTTCGTTCCCTTAATTTTTTCCTCCTCATGTAGGCTATCTGAAACATCGTTAATGTGTTCTGAGTCACCAGCTTTCTCAGCTGAGTCACGTTCTGTCACTTCTCTAAGCCTCAGTAGCCCCCTCTGGAAAGTGTGAGAGCTGAAAGGAAGGCGTAAGGAAATACCCGCAAAGAGAAGATATTTCTGGGAGTTGGAGCTGACGCACATGCTTTCCTGATTTCTTGTTACGTTGTACTGAGTGAGAAGGGTAAAGTCTTGCACCAGGCATGGTGGTGCCTGCAGTCCCAGAACTCAAGTTGCTGAGGCCGAAGGGCTGTTTGCACTGTAACCTCTCATCAGTGAGGCCCCATGTCGGTCCTTTGGATGGCTCAAGGGGTCACAGAAAAGACAAATGCTATTAAAGACTAAAGGGGAGGGGGAAAGAATGGTTTGTCTGAAGTCACAAAGGTATTAAAAAGCACAGCTCTTACCAAATGCAAGATGTACAGCCAGGGAGAGGAAAGCAATATGGCAGTGGGAGAGGACCCACATCATGCATGATCCCGGATGCCATGGATGCTAACTTGTAGGCCAGAAGCTCTTAGCTTGCTGACTGTGGTAGTCCCTTCAGGGTCTGCTGAGACATTTGAGAAATACCACGAACCTCCTGACACAACATAGTGCAGCCTGTCAACATATTTTTCTAGAGAGAAGAGACCTATGGCCTCCAAAAGTTAAGAACCAATTAGGTTGAAGCTCAGAAGCCTTTGGCAGGCATGATGGCAGGCCCAGGAAAAGCCCGGGAAGAGGAGAGAAGCAGAGAGGATGAAAGAATGGATATGGTTGAGCAAACAGAGAGTTGCCAAGATTTAGCATCCCCGGAGATGGTAAAAACAAGAACTCCAAATTGACTCTCCAGTTTCCGGCTGGAGTGAAGGAGGAATACTGGTGTCATTAAAGGGTTTCTAGGGAATATGGCAGGAAGGCAACATCCTAGTGGAAATCAGCCCTGAGCCTCTTAAAGACGGGAGTGGACAACAAGGCTTGTTTCCATTGGTAATTTGCCAGCCTCTGCCCAGGAGGCAGGAAGCCCTTGAGCCTTCTCCTTGCTGGGCTAGGGGGTCAGCCGACATATGGGGCTCTTATTTTTTATTTTCCAATCCTGGGAAGCTGTGAGCACTTGGGATAAACACAGCTCAGCACTTGGGCAACCTGGCCTGGGCCCAAAACCCACCAGGCAGGGTGCTGGGACTATGTGGAGACACCTGGTTTGTTGGGGGATATAGTCTATTAAAGACTATTTTGCCAGAACACAGCTGCTTCCTCTCAAAGGCCTGCATGGATGGTCTCCCTTAGCAACGGCTCACTTTTACAAACTGAGTTAAGTGCTGTCTGCTTTAAAATAGATTATCTGAGTCCCTATAAAGACAGTCATTATGTATTTTGAGAAGATGATTTTAATGAATTTAAATGGAAGTAGTTTTTTTTGTTTTTTGTTTTAAGATAGGAGAAGAAAAGAAATACATCCCTACCACAGATTTGTGTGCGTGTTATTTTCAGCTGAGTCAAAAACTAACCTGAAAACCCAAACTCAGATCAATTGTGTAAATAGGGCAAGTGTGTTCACTTTGGAATGTTTTTTAAAAATTATGTTGACTGTTGGTTCTCATTAAAAGTCCCCAGTGCTCCCTCATCTTTGAAAATTGTCAATCCTACACTGGACTCTCTCACTTTGGAATGGGACCCACCAAGCCACCCAAATGGCGTCCTGACTGAGTACACTTTAAGATATCAGCCAAGTAAGTCACTCCTGTTGTAAAATGCAAGCTGCTCATTTCCTTCAAGCACTGTTCCAGAAAGAGCTTCAGACATACCTGTATAGAGAAATAATGTCTATGCCATTGAAAGTTACGGTCTCTTTAGAATAATACAGATTGCTAAGCATAGGGCTGAAGGGAGGGGCCTCTCATTGGGTTAGGAGACCATTATCTGGCAACAGAAAATGAAGAGGAAGTTCCTTGGCCACAAGATGCCAAGAGAAGTGTTTGGAGTTATTAGCAGTATAGAACTCCATCAGCAAAGACAGAATAAAAACTGCTATTTTAACCCAACTGTAAAAGTCCCCTAGTTTTTAAGTCAACAGGGAAACACATTTCTACTTGTTTACATTATACTATAGGTTACATTTTACAATTTGAATAGTTATTAGTATGTTAGCCAAAGCATGAAAAGGATTGTAAAAGGCTTGTAAACTGGAAATGACTATTTTTTTTCCTGAAACAATGATTTACAGTATTATTCCTCTGACAACTAATGGGGACTGCACTTGTGTGTCACTTTTCATTGGCAGTTAACAGCACACATGAACTAGGCCCTCTGGTAGATTTAAAAATTCCTGCCAACAAGACACGCTGGACTTTAAATCATTTAAATTTCAGCACTCGGTACAAGTTTTATTTCTATGCACAAACATCGGTGGGATCAGGCAGCCAGATCACAGAGGAAGCCATAACGACTGTGGACGAAGGTAAGATGGGTATGTATGCAATCCATATCATTACACATATCTGGGGATTCAAAAGCAGTGTGAAGTTATTCCTTTCTCTTTTTTCTTACCATGGAATATCCATCTTACCCGATCACATACTTCTTTGTAATTTCTCCTCCCAATGGGGAAATCAGTTATTTTGTTCAGCTATTTGGTTATTTATCTTTCAAGACTATATGAAACTTCCAACTTACATTAAAATATTGGTGTAGAGGGCTAAAGGGGCGGTTCAGTGGTTAAGAACACTTACAGTTCTTACAGAGGACCCAGGTTCAGTTCCTAGCGTCCACAGGGTGGCTGTCTGTAACACCAGTTCCAGGTCTGATGTTCTCTTCTAGCCTCCACTGGCTCCTGGCATGCATATAGTGCACATAAACTTAAGCAAACAGACATACATACAAATAAATATGTCTTGAAAAATATTGAAGCAGGAATAAGAAATAACAATATTCAGGACACTTGAGTTCAAAGTTCAATGTAACTTTTTTGCATATAAGTCCATACACTTATGTGCTTATATATAATTTTGGTTCTAGTCCTGATTCACTGGAAACAATTTGCTTGTCTACATATTGATTAAGACTTTCTAGCAAGAAATTAAAAACAATTAATTAGTGCACTTATTTTATACTTAACCAAGAAATATATTCTGGTATGTCATCTGCGGAGAAAGCAAAAAAAAAAAAAAATTCCCATTAAATTGACTATTTTCAAAAGTGATTCAGAAATTTGCTGATTCAATGAAAACGAACAGGAATTGTAAAAAATGAGGCTAAAGAGACAGCTTAGTGGTTAAGAGCGCTTTTTGTCTTACAGAGGACCCAGGTTCAGTTCCCAGCACTCACATGATGGCTCACAACCATCAGTCAAGCCAGTTCCAGGATATCTGATGCCCTCTTCTGACCTTGGTGGGAGCCAGGCATGCATGCAGTGCACATACATATGTGCAGGCATAGCATTCACACATATAAAATAAAAGAAATCCTAAAAGTATTTAAGTATTGTCAAATATTGTCTGGTTTTGCATGTCTCTAAGTTACAAAATTACTTAAGGACTGAATCATCTGCTTGTTGGGTATCTTCTGTAGCTTCTATATAGCATATGAAATTAAAATTTCTATCCAAAAATGAGTTAAAACATCCTAAGCCTTCTTAGAATAATGCACCTTAAGTAATGTTTATATTTGAATTTTGGGTAAGTGTGGGGACAGCAAGACATTTTTGTCCCTGTGCCTGATAAGACAGGTTTCATTCTTCTTGCATGCCTTAGAATTTTAATAAGTGCTTTTTATATGGCTGTACATGCTCATGGGTGTGTTACATCTAACTATATAGTGTCCTGTTTCTGTTTCCCTTCGTTAAGCTGGTATTCTTCCACCTGATGTAGGTGCAGGCAAAGGTAAAATAACTCATCTGCATGACTTTATACCTGTGTGAACTTTGCAATGTTAAAATGTGGGGAAGTGCAGCATGGGTAAAAATGAGAAAATAAAATATGCTCAGAACCACCAAAAGGAGAACATCTGGGCTGATCATGGCTTTGAAATTAATTTCTGCGTAGTTTTATAATAGAAAGTCATATGTGTAATTCTCTCAAAAAATTTTTTTCTCAAGACTTATCCCTGGTGCAAATCCTGATCTTAGATTGTAAGAATATGGTTTTGGTTAGATCGGATGGGATGGAAGCAGCGGATTTATCACAGATCTTCCATAGGGCCGTGCCACATATCAGTAATTCTAACACTAGATGAAATCAGCCTACTAGAAATAGTTCAGCTGAGCTTCCTATTGCCATCTGACCTGACTGCACTCCTGAACAACACTGTGTACACACATTCGATAGCATTACAACACACTATCCTCCTGGGCTTTGATTTAGCAGTGTCCTACAACTGATCTGGGACTCTCTGATCACTGATCACGAGTCTCTACAAGTGAGTGTTCCAGTCAGCCTGCATGTTCTGCTCGGCTGTCTCATGCCACCCCGTTTTCACCACTGCTCAAGTCCCTCTTGCAATGGTCTTCAGTGGGTGGCGTCTGTTCTCCTTTAGTTCTGACAGCCCTCTGTGACTGAAACACTTGCTGGGAGAACGGTGTTTGATAACCTGTAGTGTATCTTCCACCTGTGGCAATACCACAGAGCCCTGCCCCCATCTTTGACCCTTGGCTATTGGTCCACCAGAGTCTATTTTAGAAAGCAGCTGCATTCCTGACTCCCTGAGCTGTTTCTAAGTGAAGTGGTGAAGTAGCCACTGTCAGGGATTGACCTGGGCTGTGATAGACCAAATGGGTATGCATGGGAGTGAAAGAAAAGAACAAGAGGGCTGGAAATCTTGTCTTAAGTATGTCCACTATTGTGAGCTTAGACTTGATGTATATTTTCCACTTTCCTCAAAAATCTGATTATATCTAGAGCCTTGGTGAATTACAAGATATATATGATGAATTTTAGAGTCTCTCTGTTCTATATGCATATCTCTTTTCTGGGATAATTATCAACTAAAATGATGGGTAGTTTTATGACAAATTATGCTATGTAACTTTAACTCAAGAATCCCACTGAAAGTCTGGCTGCCTCTCCTATAGGGCAAGCATGTGCCTGTGGTCATGGCCAGTGGCAGCCAAGAACTTGTACTTTCCTGGGTTACCAGTGAAGCCAGTCTGAGCTCCCTACTGGCTGGCCATATTAGAAGACAATATGAATTCTGTTTTTAATAAACTCAAACTAAAATACATCTTTATTAAAAGTTTTGTTTTTCATTTGATGTTACTAAATTCAACTGTGGACAAGTTATGAATATCAAAAAAACAAAGGTAGAATTAACACTTAAACAATTAAAAATTAAAAGAAAGTAAATAAAGTCCTCAATGTAAAATCTAATGGGTCTCAGATAATAAAAGGAATAATATTTAAATAAGAAAAATGGTGAACCTGACTTTATTTTAAGTATTTTAATAGTGTAACAATTAAATGCTGCTTCTATAAAATGATAATATTGTACCACAGTGATATTTAAACTCAAGTTTAATTCATAATTCTGAATTTTTCTTCCAAGGTATTTTATTTTCAATCTGACAATGATGAATTAAAGTGGCCAGCTGATCACTTCTCAAATGGTACTAGAGATTGATCCCAGGGGTTTGCACATGCTTGGTGTTTTCCTTCCCTCTCTTCAGTACGGTTAGGTTGAACATAGATGTTCAGGCTCTTCAGGAGTTTATTTTGATCCATTCCTTTGTCTGATTCAAACCATCAATATTTACATAAAAATGACCTTGTTTGGCAGTTCTTGTTCCAATTCTTCAGCTCCTTAGATGACCCCAGGGTCTGCGGCTCCAGGAGCTATTGGTGTGGAGGTTTATCTATGACATGAAATGGTGCGAGGAAAGTGGATGTGGGTTTTGCCCTCTGCTCCCTTCTGCTGGCAGATCTGTATTCCTGTGTGACACTGTGACACTGATGCTCTTGACATCAGCCATCAGAACTGATTTGTAGAGTCTTTAGTTGATACAGGAATGAGGAGAAACTAGTAAGGATCAAGTCTACACTCTGCCTAACTTGCAGCCTCCATGGTCACCCCAGGACTGATCAGAGAAGCTCTACTGGGCAAGAGCCAGTCCTGGGTCCTTCCTGGGATCTGACTCTTACTAGATGATTTTTGCCTTTATTTGGCCTGAAAAACAGTAACAACAAACAAAAATAAAAGCAACCACAAATGTACTTGAACACTCGTTGTAACAGGTAATGATGTCACTTGGGCACAGACAGCACAACTTTTTACACGACTGTGCATCAAGAAAGTAAAACAAGAATCCACCTTTCACATGCTTAAAATGTGGCAGGGAGGTGACAAGCCTGTAGTGTGAACAAAGTGCTACATGAGCACAGAGGTGGGGGGAGGGTCAGGGAAGGCCTCACGAAGAACATACCATAGAACTGGATCTCGAAGGCCTGTCTGTTTTCTCTGGCCAGCAAGTCAGGGTTGAATTCTCGGTCAGAAGCATGAGAAAAGGCCAGGACTGGGAAGCACATGAGATGTTGTGTTATAGCTAGCAATGCACTGTGTGGAAAAGAGATGCCCTTGAGTTGTGACTGGAGCAGTTGGAGGCCAAAGGTGAATAGCTCATAGCAGCCCCCCAATCCTGCAGTCAGAGGTGACTCCTTGAGTTCTAACAGGAAAGTTTTCGAGTTTAGGAAGCTAACATGTTGGTAAATGTTAGGATCAGTCGATGTCCACAGAGAAAGGTTGATTGTGGTAAGCAGTAGGCAGGAAGAACCTTCAGGAAGCTGAGATCAGAGATTGCACTGAGAGCCTTGTGTGGCTACATCCCAGGTGCTCAGTGAGTGCCTGCTCAGCAAGAAAGTAGAATAAGAGGCAGCAAAAGGGAAGGAAGGTTCCAACTCCCCATTTTAAAACTGGCCAAACAATATAATCTGAAAAAACTGCAATCTTAACTGGGTACATTGAAGAGAAAACTAAAACACGTTTTTAGTACAGGCACTTTAACTACAGTTAACAGTACATTAGGCATCTAAAATATATCTATTTTTTTCAGCATTTTTTCTTAATTAAAATTTTCATTTATTTTACATCCCAACTGCAGTTTCCCCCTCCCTCCTCTCCTCCTGTTCCCTCCCCCTGCCTCCTTCTCTGCCCCCCATCCACTCCTCCTCTGTTTCTGTTTAGAAAGGGGCAGGTCTCCTAGGGGTGTCAACAAAGCATGGCATATCAAGTTGAGGTAAGATTAAGCTCCTCCCTTTGTATTAAGGCTGGGCAAGGCAAGTCAGTATAAGGAATAGGTTCCCAAAAGCCAGCTCAAGAGTTAGGGACAGGCTCTGATCTCACAAATGACCAAGCTACAGAGCTGTCACAACATAGAGCCTAGGTCAGTCCCATGCAGGCTCCCTAGCTGGCGGTCCGGAGTCTATGAACTTGTATGGGCCCAGGTTGGTTTTTTCTGTGGGTTCCCTTGTGAAGACCTTGAGCGCCCTGGCTGGTATCATCTTTCCTCTTACTCTTAAACAGGATTCCCAGAGCTCAGCCCAGTGCTTGGCTGCGGATCTCTGCATCTGCTTCCATCAGTTACAGGATGAAGGTTCTATGATGACAATTAGGGTAGTCACCAACCTGATTACAGGAGATGGCCAGTTCAGGTACCATCTCCACTGTTGCTAGGAGTCTTAACTGGGGTCATCCTTGTGGATTCTTGGGGGTTTCCGCGGCACCAGGTTTCTCTCTAACCCCTAAATGCGCCCCACCCCCCATCAAGATATCTCTTTCATTACTCTCCCCCCTCCCTCGGTCCCTCCAAACCTGCCCAACTGGATCCCTCATGTTCACATCCTCCACCTCCACCCCAGCCTCCCTGCCCCCAGTTAACCCAGGTGATCTCTTCTAGTTCCCCTTCCCAGGGCGATCAATGTGTCCCACTTTGGGCCCTCCTTCTTGTTACCTAGTCTCTCTGGGACTCGACTGTAACCCACCAGCAGGTCTTTCACTATATGCTGGGGACTGCCAAAATATATCTGTCTTAAAACTGGACGTTTGTACCATTTGACCAAGATCCAATTTTCCCATCCCACTCCAACTTCTAGCAATCACCTTTCTGCCCAGTTTTTCTGTTTCACTGTTTTAGATTCCATTTATAATTAGAGACTTTTCTTTCTGCATCTGGTTTATTTCACATAGCATAATGACCTTTGGATTTGCCATGTTGCAGAAAGGACTTCCTTCTTTTATAAGGCTGAGTAATATTTCTTCTTTATATGCCAGTCATCATTATCTGCTCATCTGTCATTACTTCCCCTGTTAGAGTCACAAAGAGTGCTTCAGTGAACACAGGGGGATGGACACATTTTCTTTCTTTTTTATTTATTTATTTATTTATTTATTTATTTATTTATTTATTTATTTATTTTGAGCTTGAGGATCGGACCCAGGGCCTTGTGCTTGCTAGGCAAGTGCTCTACCACTGAGCTAAATCCCCACATTTTCTTTCTTTTTTATTTATTTATTTATTTATTTATTTATTTATTTATTTATAGCTTGAGGATCGGACCCAGGGCCTTGTGCTTGCTAGGCATGTGCTCTACCACTGAGCTAAATCCCCAACCCCAACGACACATTTTCAAGACACTAACTTAATTCCAGGAAAGCTGGAAATAAAAAAATTAAGTGTCAAAACAATCCAGAGAAGAAACACTAGGAAGTAAACAGAAATGAATCTTCATTTTTGGAGACAGTCACATGCATCCCAGCCAATTCTAATTGGCTATATAGATGAGCTTGACCTTGAACCTCCGATCCTCCAGCCTCCCCTTCTCTAGTGCTGGGGCTACAGTTCTGTGCTTCTGAAGTTCTGAATGCTGTGAATGAGTATTCATAGACACCACTGTTTTAGAGCTGGCTAGATGACTCAGGCAAAGGTGCTTGCCACCAAGCTAATGACCTGAGTTCAATTCCCAGAGCCCACATGGTGGAAAGAAAGAATCAATTTCCACAACTTGTTTTCTGACCTCCACACATGTGCCATATTGTGGGCACACTTGTACACACATACATACACACATACAAACATACACATACATGTAAACAAATCCTAGAGTGGCCTAGAACTTGCTTTGTAAGTGAGGAAGACCTTGGGCTCCTGACCCTCCTGCTTCTACCTCTGAGCTTTGAGATTGCAGGAGTGTGCCACCACGCCTGCTTTTATGCTCTGCTGGGGTCACACCTAGAGCTTTGTGCGCATTAGACAAGCACTCTACCAGCTGATTTCCGGCCCCAGATTCTAGATTTTTTTTCAAAAAGAAATGTAGTGGTGTATAGTAGGGTTTTGCGGGCGATAGTTCACACATCCCCATGTAACTCTTTCAGTTGATTATATTCTTGTTGCTGCCTACTTAAGAAGAAACCAGGAACACTAAAATTGTTTCTGTGTAATTTAGTAATTGCTTTACCCTCTGCTATTCCTTTTGCTTACCACAAAATATTCATGTTATCCAGTTATATTTCACAGACCAAGTACATTATTTAACTTCTTCAATATGCCTTTCAAGTTTTATTTATCCTTATTAATTAAATTTGTTCTTAGACTATACCATACATGTGTTCAGTACACACCTCTTTCCCATCTCTCTATAGCCCAATTTCTCCCCACACACCGAATTTTTGTCCTAGGAAATGCCACTTGTTTACACAGCATTCAACACAGACCTTCTAAATTATACCACATTTTAGAATTTAATTTCAGAGTCTGAGTAAGCCTCTCAGTGCTTTCTGACTTCATATCCCATATAATTTCTCTGGGGTGGCAAAAGGGTCTGGTCATTTTAGCTTATGTAGTTCTAACTTTTACTTGAAGCTATTGGGATGGACTGATAGAATTAGCCTCGAGATATTCAAATAATACTTCTAAGTACTTCACACGTATTTTTTACTAAGTTGTAAGCATATGGAGAACATCAGGTAGACTCTATAATCTGGAATTTTAGAAGCCATTTACACTGTTACACACTCTTTAGGAAATGCTGTATAACCAACACCAGGCAAGACTGTCTCTCTCTGAGATGTAGCAGGTCAGCTTGTTCCTGCTCCTTATTTCTTCTCGACCTCCAGTGGAGCACAGTTGGCCACCCCATTTGTCCCTGTTCCTCCAGCATGCCTTAACTATTCAACGTCCTCTAACGGACGAGTTTCTCAGCTCCTCAGATTCTCAGCCTGTGACTCAAGACAGGCCAGAAGTCACCACTCTAGAGAATATTCGTTCTCCTCCCAACATAAATTCTTTGAAGATCTTCACTGAGAAGCTAAATAAAATGTAAAAGCAGCCCATGGTACCTGGAAATTTCTGATACACTCTAATGGCTTCTGTTCTCAGGACTCCATTAATCTCCATTGTCCATCTGTAAATGAAGACAGTTTTTATGTTTACTGGGACTGGATCTAATGAGAAGCAGTTTACGTTACTCAGAAACCATGTACTAGAACTCATAACTTTAATATCATATACCATTACTTCTTGTTATTACAATATTTTAGTAACTGGGGGAATCTTTCTATGTCAAAAGTGAAGATGCATGGACTAAATTTTTTTTACAATAAATTCTAATATTTTATTTGAACAGTTTCATATTATTTTATCTTTCAGTCAGTGTGTATGGTGCTGCAATATGATTGTTTGTGTGTTCTGTTTGTTTTTGTTTTTCTGTTGTGTATTTAGTTCGAGCAGTAAATCCCAGGATCAGCAATCTCACTGCCGCAGCTGCTGAGACGTATGCCAATATCAGTTGGGAATATGAGGGACCAGAGCATGTGAAGTTTTATGTTGAATATGGTGTAGCAGGCAGTAAGACATGATTTATTACCCTGCTTTCAATTTGGGGGACACATTGTAGGAAACAAAAAATAATGTTTAGGATTTACTGTGGACTGCATTGAAAAATAGCTTAATCCCACCAAGAGAATCAGAGTCATTTTAATAAAATAATGATTAACTACAAGCCCACATATTTCATATATAAATACAAATACTCTGTTATTAATAGTCAGGGGCATAAGCTCACTGCTATTGCTTTTTTTTCATATTGGAACACTTTAAATTGGTTCTGTAAATGCAACATGTAAACAAAACTAATAACTAATAACTTTTAAGTACACATAAGACAGCTTTTCTTTTTCAGTCTGGAATTTCTAGTAGTAGAAATAAAACTGATAGGAAAGAATTCATTTTACCCAAATTAACCCAGTAAAATTTTACACAAAATTGAAGAAAATTAAAACTGTGGAAGCATCCACATTGTCTTGGTGTTTTATGGATGCCTAAGTCAGCTCTCTGTTCACATACAGCTATGTCTCCTGGGATATGTAGGCAGCTTGGGTTTTCAGTAACTCATGAAAACCCATCCCTTCCTCAATGCAGTGTGCTCTGCATATCACAGGCTGAATGGCCAGGGAATGTTTACACAAACATCTGACAAAATGTTGAACATCACTCAACTTCCTATTCAGGCCTTTATAAGGCAAAAACATATTTTTACAAACAACTGCCCCTTTAGAAAAATCAATAATTGAGAAATATTGTGACCGTAACTTGGATACATATAAAGACATTTAAATTTATCAAAGATTTATCTTATGAATCTTTACAAACCATTCTCATAGTTCACTGAAGCTATGTAATGTATAGCAGTTCTTTATGCAAACATCTTAGAAGAAACTCAGACATTTCATGAGGCAAGGAGCAGACAAGGCAGTATCCTTTGTATTAAAAAGAATACGTGCTATGTGCATTTGTGTGCACGCTAAGTGCCCAATAGGATTCTCTTTGAGGATAGTCTCACTTAGCTCCTCATTTAACTGGCTTATTTGACACAATTAGATCTGTAATAATCTAAATGCAATATTTAATCATCCTAGATTTTTAATCTTTACCTCAAAGACAATTTTCCTTTCTTGAAATATCAAGTAACTTCTGGTCCCTTGAAATGTTCAAATTTGTTTTTGTTTGTCTGTTTGTTTGTTTTTGTTTTTTGTTTTTTTTTTTTCACAAAATTTCCATAGGCAAAGAAGAATGGAGGAAAGAAATTGTAAATGATTCTCGAAGCTTCTTTGGGTTAAAGGGTCTAATGCCAGGAACAGCATACAAAGTTCGAGTTGGTGCTGAGGGGGACTCTGGTTTTGTGAGTTCAGAGGATGTGTTTGAGACAGGCCCAGGTGAGGCACACACCACACCACTTCTGGCTTGTGCTCAGAAGGAGAAGCCAGCAGACACTCTAGTCAGAAGCTGGCAGGGGAAGAGCTTGTAAGGCTGTGGATATCTGTCTATCTATGGGGCCCTGTTGGGTTGGATGTTTGCATTTTAATTATGCTTGACTTCTTTTATTAAATGAATTACAAAATTGGGCGAATCATCTTTCAACTACATTATTGACCAAAACAATTTTTAAAAGACCAAAATGTAATTTTAACTTAAATTATTTAGATAATTCAATTTTTAATAATTTCCATATTTAAAATTTCTCTGAATTAAATTGACATTAATGTCTGAAATTCTTTTTAGGTTGGAATTATATCTAAGAGAGTCAGAATTCTTTATGTCAAAATGGACTATAACCCAGCAGAACCCTGCAATTTGATTAGATGATCAATATAATGTTACTAAGTTTGTACAAAAAAATTTCTATAAGTCCAATATTTCATTTTATTGCAGAAAAAATGCCTGTTTATATATGTTTTAGTTTTGGGATGTTATTCAGAGTTCCCTAGTATAAAAAGTAAAGTTTTAAAAAGAAATGTTCATGTAAAATGTAAATAATAATAACAATAACAGATATTTGCCGCCATTATAGAAAATAATCTCTGCTTACTAAGATTGACACAGCAGCCGTGTGGTGTGTGTTCATCCTATGGTTCATACATTCATTTCTGCTCAGTCATGTCATACATTCTTGAGGTGATATTATGTACTTACCCCTGTAGAAACCAAAGGCAAGATGGAGTGTTGTAGTTTCATTAGCAAAACATGATTTTTGAAGTCATTTCTTATCATTTAAAAATGCTTGCCCAGGAATAGTTTTAAAAAGAGAAAGAAACCAAAGTTAATACTGAATAACTGACTAAATAAGGCTTTCTAAATATACATCTGCTAAAAATCAGTATATTTTTAAGAAAAATCCTATTATTCTGCTCCTTCTGTTTCACATCCATTTTCATACATAGTCTAGGAAAGGAATTAATTCTAAAAGGGGAGTTCTAAACAGCTCAGCTCTGTAAGACTTGACAGACCAGAATGCAGACAGATAGGATTGGCAGACCAGGCAATAAAACTCCAAGACCCATCTTCACTGACCCACTTCCTTCAGCAAGGCTTCACTTGCCAAAGGTTTGACAGCCTGTCAAAAGAGCAACCGCAGCTGGGGATCACGTGTTCAAACACATGTGCCTACAGGAGTCACTTTACAGTCGAACCCTTTGAAGCTCAGTTACAAGAAGGCAAAAACCCACAGCTTTCATCTGTGTCTGTTTCTGTCTACGTATGTATGTATGAATGTCCGTGTGTATGTATGTATGTACCTGCTCACTTGTGATTAGTCTTAAATAATGGATTGGAGAGATGCCAAATAATTTTCTCTTTGCTATAAAGCAAAAATTCAAAGTTAACATTAAAATCTTTAGTCAGTTACCCAGGGAGCAGCCAATTTTGCACAGCTACCCGGTAGCAGCTGTGGGAAGCAATTCAGTTCTGAAAGTCTCCATTTGTGGAAGACAGTGTCAGCACTAATACTTGAGCATCTTGCATTTTTATCTCATCCATCTTATTTCATTTGATGATAGATATAAACACTGAAACTATTCATAACAATGCCATAATTCATTAAGAATTTCAAAATCAAGGACTCTCATGATTAAAATAACTTTGCCATGTGGTTTGGGGCTCAGTTTTGAATAAAAGCATGCAAAGGCCATGTACAAATTGGCAAGACTATTTTGCCAATGAGAATGTAATGAATTTTTAAACCCTTTATCTATTTTTAAATGGAATGTCCCTAAAGCAGTTTATTGTATATTCAGACATTTGTGGATTTGATGTCTGGACTTGTTTTTAGTAATGCATTGTATCAGGGCAGTTAAATAGCTTAGTAGCATGCTCACTACCTGAAACTAGACAGGGCAGACAGACAGACAGACAGACACAGGTCCCTTCCAACTCTTGGGAAATCTCTCGTTCTCAATCTCTCTGGCTTTGGGATTATCATAATGCTTACCTCAGAGGACTTTTGTGAGGATTGAAAGAGATCCTGCCTTCAGTACAATTCCTAGCATAGATGAATAGTCCAACTTATTAGCTGCTGTCATCATCACCGCCACCGCCACCACCACTGGCATAATCATCATCATCATCATCATCATTATCATCATCATCACCACCACTGACATCATCATCATCATCATCACCACCACCCTGACATCATCATCACCGCCACCACCACCACTGACATAATCATCATTATCATCATCATCACCACTGACATCATCATCATCACCACCACCACCACCACCACCACCACCACTGTGACATGTGTATGAAAGCCAGAGCTGTTTATACTCAAGTTCTTCATGTGCCTGGTTACAATACAGCTCCAAACCCCTCTAACTAATGATACACAGAGGAGCTGTTTGGAAAAGGCTATTGGCTTCCAATTTATGTTCCAAATAATATATTTCCACTTTCACTTTATTTCTTAAACATATCTCTGGACATTTTTTACATTCCATTTCACATTTGATTTTAACCATTTTATTTTCTGTGGCAAAAAGGACACAATGAAATGCTACTTTCAATGCATATGGGAAACCTGAGATGTGGTTATATCTGCATCCAGAGATCATGCACATCTAACCCAATGGTAAAACTTTTTCAGAAGAAACTCAAATTAAAGGCACAGTGTAGGCATATGTATGAATGCAAAAGAAGAAAATCTTTGATGTTGTTTATGGTTAAAAAATGAAAAAACAAAGGCCTTTAATAAAACATTTGTGCAAACTTATTTAAACATATCTTGTGTGTCTGAATAGCCACTGATGCTGCACTTTGTCCCATGTGGTTGACACTTTTTCAGAATACCTGAACTGTTCTTATGAGCTTTGCATACTATAAGTAGCTGAATAAAGAGTTTCACATCATTTATTCAAACAGAACAGATGGAGATGTAAAGAACTGTATACATGCAAATGAGTATTTTCTCTTCAAACGGTTCATTCATTCCAATATTGGTTCTATTGATCAAAATATATTTTAAATTTCTTTGAATAAAAGAGCCCAAACAATAGCAAATACTGGTCCTTTGAGAACAGGTTTGATATTCTCAGGATTTCCATTCAGAATTGAGGTGTTTTGTAAAATAACAATTCTGGTGTACATTAGTGGCTAGGTTTCTTACATGGGCCATTTTTCTCTCTCTTTCTCTCTCTCGGTTTCCAAAACACTGAAAAAAACAGCTTCATCCTTCCACTGACATTTTAGTTTTCCAAGGTAGTTTCTTTTGAAGGGAAAATACTTGTTAAATGTATACATGCTGTTCTGTTTAAAATTCAGTTTTATATTCTTAGTATACCTCATATCCATTTAATCCCCAAAATAATAGATTTTAATTGGTTTGAGAATGCATTTCTATTGAGAATGTATAGTTGAAGTAAGTGTGAATCCAGTGTTTATCAGGGTGTGACAGCACTTCATCAAGATTTCTCTATTTCAATTTTTTACATAATGAAGATTTTTCAAAGTTAAGTATGTAATTTCTTATTAATGATTGGCACATTCCAATTTGAAGTCCTGTGAAAAGTTCATGAAAGCTCCTATACTGTGGCAATTGTTTTTTAATAAAGAGACTAGCATGGCTCTCACCTTGCCGTTAACCTGTTCCTACCCATGCCCTTGATTTGTTTTGTAGCAATGGCAAGCCGGCAAGTGGATATTGCAACCCAGGGCTGGTTCATAGGTCTGATGTGTGCTGTCGCCCTCCTCATCTTAATCTTGCTCATCGTTTGCTTCATTAGAAGAAACAAGGGTGGTAAATATCCAGGTGAGAGGGGTTTGGAACGCTTCCTAATTGCTGCAGATAGATCTGCTAAACCGGAAAGAGTAACAGAGACAGGAGCAAGAGCAACATATCCTCTTAGAGCCGTACATTTGAATTTCTTAATCAAATGACTTTGACCCCTCTTTATATTATGCATACTGTCACGGATCATAGGGTATGTGGAGAAATACACCAGCCAGGGCTCCAAGGAAGCCTGCTTCCTTAGGACCCAAAGGGTTATGAACACGGAAGTAGGACCTAAAGCCACTCTACAGGAGAAGAAGGGGGCAGCATGTACATCTTCCCAGATGGAACACAAGCTGGTGTGACATTACATTACAGTCACTGTAAGGTTGATGGATTTCTATCTTCTTTGCTTGACCATTTATCCTTTGATTAAAAACATTTATCTTTCAAAACACTGCAAAATAGTATAGTTACAAAAGTGTTTGTTATCATCAATACACCAATAAATAGACTGGAAAATATAGAAGAACTATGAGAAACTTAAAAATCATTTCCTCACTGAGGGGGGAAAGACTGAAGTAGCCTGATGTGTTAATCAACACTGATCTAGTAAATATCAAAGCATACTCACGGCCATATTAGGTGCATGGTTACATGGTATCTACTTATGTAGAGATTATCTTTCCTCTATGTCTCAGCTCACTTCTGCAAACATTGAACAAGGAAGTTTAGTGTCAATGGATAATAATGTTACTTCAAACTTTTCAGTTAAAGAAAAGGAAGATGCTCATGCGGACCCTGAAATCCAGCCCATGAAGGAAGATGATGGAACATTTGGAGAATACAGGTGAGCCCTTGTTTCTTCTGGCTCTGCCTTCCCTGCCCCACTAAACACTACCCTCAGACACTCGCTGAGTTCTGAGAACAGAACCCAGTGAGCAGTGGGCCCGCTACTTTAGAGGCAAGTCCATGTCAAAATATATCCATCCTTCTTAATTAAAATATTATAACTAAAATATTCCATTAAAAAAATAAGAATCCTCATAAAAGTTTTCCATTGTAGTCATACGTTTAGAGTCAGAATATATTCCATCCATTATTATTTTTTTTTCTAGAGACACAAGCCATGCATTCAGTCCAGCAATTTCATTGTGTTGCAGTAAGAGCTAGAGGAATTCTGCACAGCCTACAGTGTGAGGCAAACATGCATTTATAAAACCAGTGTTAGCAGGACTGCTCTGTGCCTTTGTTTCATTTTATTTTTGAGATTGAATCTCATGATGTAGTTCACGCTGGCCTGGGATTCACTACATAGGCCAAACTGGCTCCAAATTCGTAACCCTACTCCCTCAGTCTTACAAGTGCTGCAAGAGAGAGAGAATGGGTGTGTGTGTGTGTGTGTGTGTGTGTGTGTGTGTGTGTGTGTGTGTGTGTGTGTGTGCTGGACCAAACCCAGAGCTTTGCACAAACTAGGCAAGCACTCTCCTACTGAACTACATGCTCAGCCCCAAGACGTTTTAATCTCAGATTTATAAAATGTTTTAATAATACCCATCTCCCCTACTTTTAGTCAATTGGGAGTAGGTTGTTTTAGAAGCTGTTAATTATTAAGAACCATCATAGCCATTCAGGCAGTACATTAACTCACAGAATGCCAATACCATATTCTTGATTTAACTTCATATTAAGAAAAACATTTAGTATAATCTATCTACCTTCTTTTAAGTCTCTTTACATGAAACTATTCTTACCTAGATACTATAGGTCTTTCACAGAGAGAAATGATTATTTTAGACATCATTAAAAACAGAGTAAGTTTCATCATGTATTTAATGCTCTGAAATAACTCTATTTATAAAATACCTTTTATAACGTAGGGAGGTTTTGTGTGTGTGTGTTGGCATAAAATGTAATCTTCCAAATATGCATGAAGCTCATATTGTGGCTTTTTTCGACAGAAGAAAATACTTTTGGGTGAAATAAAAGATTCACTATTGTGATTTCCAAGTCACCTTCGTAGATAGATATTTGCGTCAGGTACTACCTGCCTCTGTAGCTCATTTTTGGTATTTCCATGTCAGTATCACTCGTAAAGAACAACCAGAGCCAACATAGGAAATGTAAAATGGATTCAGGAAAACTGTATATTTCAGTATGAGTTTTCATAGCAGTGTCCATGCAGATGTGAGCATGTCTGGCCTCCAGTGTCTTAGCACCTATGCTGCTCCCCTCCTCAACAGAAAGAGCCAATGCTTTCTAAAAGCTCTTAGAATTTCTGTAGCTCACAATACCAGAACAATGTCTTGCAAGGGTTATGTTGATGCCAGATATTGGATCTGGAGCTGAAAGTGAAAACCTTAGACAGCACCCACCTACTATGACCAGTTTTCCACAGTGCATTGCGTAGCCCACAGTGTGCATGGTTCAGGGCAGCTGTGTCTCACTCTGGAGGAGTGGAAGTCTTCGCTGGTATAACTCACTTTTCTACCTGTTTCTCCTGCACACAGGTGAGCTGACACTAATTAAAGGACATCCTTGTAAAGTTCATGTGGCTATGACCTCATACAGGATATGCACACCACTCCCTTGTGTATTGATATGAAGCTACATCTTCAACATAGAAATATATATATTTGCATGAATTGGAAATAAGCCATTGCATTTCAAACATTTTTCACATTGTGATGGATTCATATTCTTATCATGCTTAAGCAAATATGGCAATGTACTGCTCATCTCAAATCCCTCAAAATATTGGTTTGCTATTATATTGATGTGAAGTCAAGACCTGGGACAATGTGACTTTGGGTGACTATGCTAACACCACTAAACCTTAATTCAAGTCAAGGTTGTATTTTATGAATTTGCTTGGAATCAAGAGGCTATTAATTTTTCTTTCAACTTAGCCATTACCTCTGATTCCTTTATGATGCTTAATTTGTATCTGTCTCAATTTTCATCATCTAGACAAATTTTCAAGCATCCGAACATCTTCAGAGATTTCTTTTCTAGTTTTGTGCTCTCTATGGGTGACAGACAACTTCCAGCATGGTTCTGTTTTCAGAGCAGTACATAGCAAGCGTCTGGCTTTTATCTTCATAGTCACAATTTGATTTACATCTACTGACTCACATTTCTTTGTCTCAGCTTTAATTCATGTGTGTGCTGTGTCTGTGAAGCGTTTTCAAATGGCTGTCTTTGGCTTTTGCCAAAGTTTCTCAGGATAGAGAGACTTTCCGTTTGGGCCCATTGAATACAAGCCCAATTGGCATGAAGACAAAAATACTTGTCACTCATGGAATGACATTAATCCTGGAGGGGCCTAAGGAAATAAAGTTCTGATGAGTGTCTTCAACTCAACCCACAACTTGGTGGTGTGGTTTTGAGTGAATTTCCAAGTTAGTGAGAACAATCCTTCATGTGAAATCGAATCTCCCGAATTCCAGGATGTTGTTGTTGTTGATGTGACCTTGTCCTTAGGCATTCAGATACTTCCTCAGCTTTATTCCCTTTGGTTCTTTCCATTTAAGCCTTTTGAATCCGAGAGTCATAATGAATGAAAACGGTTCCAACTATTTATGGAGAATTATTTGTTTTAATGGTACATTTGAGCGTTATTCTCTTCCCTAAATCACTGGGGTCCTTTCTCTACTTTGCACCTTCTAGAAGTTTTGAGCTCTGTATTTCTTATTGATTCTTAGTCTCCTGCATTCTGAAAATGAACTATAATGCTGGTCTCATGCTGACACACAATTAGGACTATTGTTGAAATGTAAATTAATTCCATTTGTGTTTCACACGTTCTCTAGCCTGAGGATGGAACAATTCTACCTGGATGGCTCCAAGCCAGACAAAATGTCATAGTGCAAAGAGGGATGGAACTCCCATAGTGGCCAAATCTGATTTTTTTTCCATATGCTATATGCCCATACCCTCACTCCAAGACCCACCCCTAAGCAGCTACGCTCTCTCTGAAGCCTGCAGCTTTCTTTGTTTGTCTCTTTAATTACACAGACAGTAGGATCTGCATCCTTACTAGCATATAGAAAAATCAAAGAAACAGTGCAGCCAACTATGTAAGTATTTCCTTATTCTTTAGATGCATTCTCTTTAAAAACAAGAGTGAGCCTAGGTTGTAAACCATATGCCTGTGCTATGTGAACTATGATTTACTGCCCAAATGGAGGATTGTGCCATGGTAATCTTGTCATTCATGTAACCACAGCCTGCTGCCAGCTTGCTAACTCTTGCTCAAAGCTTGGCTGATACAAGCCTGTGGTGTTGCATTTGTTACATCCTTCAGGCTTATTGTGCTCATAAATATGAACTGGTTGTAAGCATATAATGATGAACTCTTACAGCATGCCAGCATAAGGTTTGGGTGCATGGATGTCAATAACACTGTTGTATCATTTGATCATGGTACGATGGTTGCTGCTGGAAAATCAAATGTAATTATAGATTTATTTACTTGTTTTTATTTTAGTAAACATTTCATGGGTATGAACCAGGCACTACTGGGAAAGACATGAATGAACTCCCTAAAATGTATTCTTAGTATGAAAGAAAGAAAAATACAAGCCAATGCTTTGTCTGCTGTTATAATATTAAGAAGGGATGAAAAATTTAATGTTAGAATTCTAAAGCATTTCTGAAATATTCTTCGTCTCTTCTATTGTAGTTTTATTATGAATTTACCCAAAGGATATTTACTGAGTGCCTACTATATGCGTGACCTTAGGAAAATTGAACACAATAGAATTTGGTCCCTCACTGGGAGATTATAATCTAGTGAGGAATACAGAGAACTACCAGCAACTTTGTGGGTTGTGTGAAAAGTGTCATTTCTTTTTCCCATCATATTGCTTGATACTCCTGGGTAGCTTTCATTAGTAGTGCTGAAAGCAGCCAAGTGTGGCAGCTCATGTCTATACTCCTAGCACTTGGGCGGCAAAGGCAGGAAGATGAGAAGTTCAAGGTCATCTTCAGCTACATAGCAAAGTTGGGAGTGTTAGGCCAGCCTGGGCTACGTAGACCCTGTCTTCAAAACCATAAAGAAGGAGGAGGAGGGAGAGGATGAAAAAAAGGAAGAGGGAGAGAAGGAGGAAGAGACGACGGCCATCCTTACCATTATTTCTGATTCTAGACAGAACAGTTCAGCATTGGCCATCAAGGATTCTGTTCACTGTAGTTTTCATGTAGGCATGCTTAGCCAGATTTAACAGAACCACTTCCCCTTTCTAGCGTATTAAAGTTATCTTCATCTGAGTGGTTATTGAATTCTGTCATATACTTTTTTCTAAATCTACTATGATGATCGCAATTTTTTTCTTTCTACAAAAGTACAAGTGGTAAATTTCATACACTATATTTTCATACTAAATCAAACTTGCATTACTAAACTTGACCCAACTTGGGTATGGTATTTTATCTCTTCAGTGGTTGGCTACATTTGTCTTGCTATGAGTTCAGGTCTCATTGTCCATGTCCGTGAGTTGCGTCAGCCCTATAGCCTGACTTTCTTGTGGCATTTTTGTTGATTTTACCTATCACGGGCATAAAAGTCTCATAACATTATTACAGAAGTGGTGCTTCTGACGTGTACAAACTCAGATCTTCACCCGAGCATGCTCTGCTGCACATTGAAAAGGGGTAATGCCAAGCTTCTTGTTTAGGCCAGACATCCTGGTGCCATCATCTTCCCTCTGGCTCCCTAACCAATCCATCAGGAAGTCCTCCTTGTTCTTCTTTCCAAATATGACCACAGTCTGAGCATTTTGTTTAAACTTCTTCAACATTCCACCCAGGTCCAAACCACAGCCATCTCTCTCCTGGATAACGGAAGTAATCCCGCCCCCTGCCCCCACCCCAACTCTACCGCAAAGCTCTGCAGACTCACACTTATAAAGAGCCCTGGGTAAATGGTTTAGCTTTTGCAGCCCACATAGCCTTAGCGGGAACTCTGCAGTTCTGCCGATGTAGCAGAAAAGGAGCCATGGGCAATACATAAATCACAAATATTTATTTAAAGTGGCTCAAGTTTCCAGAATTTACCAACCCCTCCTCTCAAGGCCAGGCTACTACTGTCAACACTTGATGGCAAAGTTTGTGCCTTTAGAATACTGTAGGTCAGACCACAGTGCTCACCCGTGGAAATACCCCCAGCGCCTCCATCTCTTAAACAGAGGCTCATCAATGTCCATGGAACCCGGGCCTACCCCTGCCACCACCAACTACTCTCTTTCTCACTCACCCATTAAATTCCAGCCACAGCCAGCACCTCGCTGTTTCTAGAACATGCCAGGCCTGCCCTGCTGCAGATCGTATGTGCTGCTTGGTGCTTTTGCCATAACTGCCCTCGCTCTCGTCATCCACACGGCTAACTTGGCTCTTAGGTCCTCGATCAGAAGATGCTTTCAAACAAGACCTTCCCTGGCTATCTTCTGTCAGCCCTCCCTCCTCTTCCCTAGCTCCTTCTGTCATCTTGAATCAACTCTAGAGTCTCTGCAGTGCTGATCACCTGACATAAGTAGTTTCCTTTACTGTTAACTGCATTTTACCCCACTGGATGTGAGGTCAGCATTTCAGTCTATGTGGCTTGTTTCTATGTGCCCAGTGCCTAGAATGGCATCTGCCTTAGAGTAGGTACTTCTAGTAGATGAAGGGAAGACTGGATCAAAGAAATGGCATAATGAAGATGTCCTATAATGCATTCCTTGGCTCATTAGTTCTTCTAAGTAGAATAATAGGTGGAACTCAGTTGGCAAAATTCTGTTTATCATTGGACTCTTCAGGGGCATAATCATCAGAAGTCTTTAAGCAAAGTATATAAGTTCACAGCTAAACCTCAAAGATGTTGTGTAAGCTGTTTTTATAAGTTGGGTTGTGTGGGTGTTATGCCCTCTGAAATGCTCCCCTCAACAGGCCACCCCAATGATCTCTGATGTCACCAAGTTGTTTAGATAGTTCAGATGGCAGTGTGTACTTGTTTATTACCTGAACAGGCTTTTTTTTTGATAGCACATGAAAGTTTTGATGCATTCTTCTTGGAAAGAAGAGTAAGAGATTGCTAGCAGAAAGTATTACCAAAGGAGACACACTTATTTGTTTATCTTTAAATCTTTGTAGCTTGACTAGAAAAAATCAGTTTTGCTAACAATGATCTTAACATCAGTCGTTGTTAAAACACTGAAGTTACAGTGACCCCTTGTCACATCAAGTACATCAGGACTTTTATTTAGTTCAAGTATTGTGCATCATTCCTATTTCACATGGGGTTGTTGCTGATAAATTTTCTTTTTTGCTATTTTTCCCAAATGTTACCTGTTAAGGAGTCAGTCACTGAAGCTATGCATATGACCATGTCAGTGGATGATCTGAAATTCAATGACGTATGTGGCCATGTTAGTGGACATTCCTAAACATAGTGAATACTCTTTTGCTTTCAGAAGCTGTGCTTTAGGGTTCAACAAAGAAATAAGCAAAATAATAATAGACTCTCCCAACGCTTTGCTTAAGTGCAAGGCTTGGACACCCGTGTATATATAGCACCCATTGAGCAGAAGACAGAACATACTTAATTGTGAGTTTGGAAGCACTCACCCCCTTAAGGTCTTGGGAGCATGCTGTTTATGGTTCAAATATAGTGCTTTTACGTTAAAGTGTTTGTCTTTCCAAATTAATAAATCTTTACCCAATTGACCAAAAAATCTTCAGAAAAAAAGATACTGTGACCTATCAGTATAAGGACTGTGCTTTTCTTCTTAGGCTGTTCTCATTTGTTTCCTCTGCCTCCTTTTAATGGATTTCTAGGTCTTTTGAAAGGTAAGGCGGAAGTTCACAAATCTGGCCTGTACTCAGTAACAAAATTATTTAAACTGCAGGATTTTGCTTCTCCTTCTGGCTCAGGAAAAACAATCCATATTTCACATGTAACCAAAATCATGCTCCATTCACATCCAAGGAATCAGAGATGTTCTACAGTTTAACACACTAACTTGCCCATGTCCTGAGCTCTGTCCTGCTCCCTTGAATTGCAACAGCGATGGTTTTCAGCTTTGCTCAGCCCTCCTTCTAAAGCTTGTGATTGTTCCTGGATTGCCTTCTAATCAGGCGTCAGAATCTCTCATTTAAATTAGCACGCACACTCGGAAAGCCATCCGCTCTGCCCGCAGACCATGATTCAACCATTTCTGTGCCTGATTTCCATTCCAGCACCGCCCTAGCCACTGGAATCCACCTGGCAGCTAGATTGGGCTGCAGCAGCTCAGGACTCCATATGCTTTTTCATAATTTGCATGCACAATTTGTTAAAACAAGGCACTTTACCTAAATGCCAGTCTTACCGAAATAGTTTTTTTTTTTTTCCTTTTTTTCCAGCGATGCAGAAGACCACAAGCCTTTGAAAAAAGGAAGCCGAACACCTTCAGACAGGACTGTGAAAAAAGAGGATAGTGATGATAGCCTGGTTGACTATGGAGAGGGGGTGAACGGCCAATTCAATGAGGATGGCTCCTTCATTGGACAATATAGTGGTAAGAAAGAGAAAGAACCAGCCGAGGGAAATGAGAGCTCAGAGGCCCCTTCACCTGTCAACGCCATGAACTCCTTTGTTTAAGTCTTTAAGCTCCGCGTCAGTGTCCCATTTCTCTGGAATGTTTTTCCTGAGCACTTCTCATCCCTCTCATTCTGTGGACATATGGGTAGAAAGGATGTTTTTCTGCTGTATGTGAGTATTATGAGAACAAAGCAAGAGCGAAACTCAGTCAAATGATGCGTTAACATTAACTGGGGTACAAAGTGAGTACTTTTCTGTTCAGAGTGGGTTTTCTCAATTTCCTTGGAACCGATTAAAAACAAAATTCAACACCCTCAATAGATCACATTATTCCCTGTGTGGGATACAGTTCAATAAGATGCATGAAACCTGCGGCACAGAGGACACACCTGTGTATGTGATTGCGACGTGGTCGGGTACTTTGTTGACACTATGCTCTGCCGAACCCTGAATATAAATTCCGTTGTTATTGTGGAGAGTGTTATTGTAGTGTTCTCTAGAGCTCCAGTGTCTCTGCGGACATTGTTGTGGAACTCGTGACTATGTCTAGTTGTCGTTAGTCTTTTCGGGAGACTGTTAGGAACGGTGTGTACAGTATCTACTTGCTACATGAGTTAATTATGTCAGGTGCATCTGCTAATGCTCACCGAAACTGTTACCTATCCTTTATTCCCGTTACTTCCTAGGCTTCTTAACCTTCCAGGTTACAGTGGCAGTGTTCCTCTTCTTACACTCTCTGTGTTCAGTCATCTGGGGGCATAAACATTGCATTTTGTGACACCTTCTGGCATTTGCGCCATCCTGAAAGAGTTGAAGACAAAACTCTCAAGTTAGATTTCAAGATTTAATCCAGAAAATGCAGGGCAAGATACATGCAGCACCTTCAGACAATGAGCATCCCCTGGCTCCTGCACTCTGCATGGGCCAGTCTGGGCAACTCCATCCTGTGTTACTGCTGCTGTTAGAAAAGAACCTTTAAAAGGCAGAGATAATGAGAGCTGACATGCTGGAAAATTGTGAAAATAAAAACAAGTTTATTTGAAGGGGCTTTCCCCCATAAATGTCAAAAACAAAGAAAGCTTTGTCATTGGCTGGAGCACGTGGTGGTTTTGTGGTCTTTTCTGGTTTCTAGCCAAACAAGTCACGTTGAAAAAGAAAAATGGCATGGTTGGAAATGCATGGAAAAACCAATGACTGTAGAACTAAAAACATACAACAGCATGCAAACAGTGATACACTACCCACTATTCCTATATGAGCTTTCAAACTCTGCAGCATTCAGCAATGTGTATGCAAGCTGCAATGGGCACACTCCAGAATCTTCAAAATCTGGCAATGGCTTAATTAGGCCAGCAGTCAAGGGGATTACAGCTGCAGTCTAAAGAATAAATACATATATCCTATCATAGTCATAAACAATGTGTATGAAATGGCTTACCTCCAATATAAAAATCTATGACAACCTATGGTTGAAGGAATGCTCAATTTCATTTGCCAATAAATTGGTTTCTCATAACTTGCATCAAGTTTAATTTTAAGTAAAGCTTTTTATATGTAGATATTCTGTTGAATTTGTAAATATACGTAAAGTGTAGAAGCTATATGCTTATAGGGGTTACGTGCAAATAAACACGCAAGCAATGTTTATGTTCTGCTGTGTGAAAAGTAAGCTCATTAATTAATTCAGTGTATGGGACTGAAAAACATCCAAATGCCTTTTGTGGGTTTTTCCCTCTCCTTTTTGCTGTGAAACTGAAATAGTGAACTTTTTTACCCACTGTTTCAGCCAGTTTCTGGCTGAAATCTTCAGCATTTTGCCAATGGAGTACAGTAGGATTTGTCACTTGGCATCTTTGATGCATACAGGTAAAGCTTGTTTTAAAGTGATCCCCAAATGAGGTGGCCCTAAATATTCTCATGTCTTCATATTTACTTTCCACAAACCAGCCTGCCTGTTGGAAATACAAATAATAAGACAGCCTTGCCTAGACATCGGAAAACACAAAGACAAAAGTTACTTCAATGTTTTCAGAGAAAAATAAATGCACAGTTTCTGCTCTTCCATAACTATAGATGCTAAATGTCTCTGTGCATGAAGAAGTCACCTTCATCTGTAGATTACTACAGATTTTGTATTAAAAATTAAGTGTGGTTTCCCCACCCCTCCCTGTTTTGTATCTATCATGTTCCTAGTGGAGTGGGAATGCCCCAGTCTATGTAACTGGTATAATGACCCGATAATCTGTATACAGAGCAGGAAAAGGGGACCAGGTTGCCATCAGAAAGTGACTATTAAACAGTCCAGATAGCATGGGTTTTAGTTTCTTCAAACCTGTATTTCCGAAGATTTTGAAGAAATTTTGACTCTTTTTTTTTTTGTTTTATCTTTTTGAAAGGCCTAGGACATTATCACAAAACTAAACACGAGAATTAATAAGAAGCGTAATCCAGACATTTTAATAAAAGGTTAGGGACTAAGCAAAAAGAGATAGTAGTACCAGTCTTTTGAGAAAAGGAGAGGAAATCATGTTGTGTCCTTTCTGGACCACAGTCAGTCTGAATTTCTTAACATGGCTGCTTGATGAGAGAGTTTGAACACTCATATGTATTACAAATACGCCATCCACTTCCTTCCCTCCACCTTCGTTCTTCTGTCTCCAAGCTGTATAGGCGTGCAAACAGTCCAAGCTTAGCAGTTACCCACATTCCATCACCTGCCCCTTAGTCACTGGCCCCTGGTCCCTGCACTACACCCAGGAGACCCGCCTTGCCCTCTCAGTTTTTTCGATAACACGTTATAAAGAGACCTGGAGATGTCAAATAGAGCTCGGTATTCTTCCCACAGAGGCACATTGGCGGTTCTCTCTCAGACCCCCCTTTCTCCCGCGCCACTGTGAGCCAGATTAACAAACCACAGCCGCACTCTACATCACGTCCCGCCTCTGTGGCAGAAGGGGCTGTAAAACCATAAGTATGACCTCAGTAAGATCTGGTAGTTATAAAGCGGTATAAACCATCTTGTTCAGGTGGTTTTGACGACTTTCGAGATCAGGAGAGTCCAAGGAACTCAGGGATTCTCACCCACGGAATGAATCGCTCCCGCTTGAGACGTTTCTACAGCTGACCACCAGAGGGCGCCCCGTGCTTTATTCTGCGCAAAAGAAACCCACTAGAGAAAGCCGCCTAAGGGACACACAATCCTAATCATTTTGGATAATCAAAGAATGGCCCGATGGTGCAGAGAATGATTGCCTGCTGCAACGAAGGAGACGGGACTGCAGCTCTCCCTAGTGAGTTCACGGTTTCCAGAGAGGAAGCATGAGGTGTGTGAGCCCTTTGCATATTTTTTTTTCCTTATTGGGCTGCAGCCTGGGTGGGTCAGGAGAGGAGTTGCCCGGAGTCCACTGGCCCCCTTTGTCAGTTTGGTGTGTGTGACGATATGGGAAGGGTGTCCTTAAAATGACCTCAACCCCTTTCTTCAAGGATACTGTTTTTGTCTGGCATTAATGGTTTGATGTTTATTATTGAATAGATCACACACAGAAGTAGTTTAAACACCACCCACAGCTCTTATGACTCACGGAGGAGAAGACTGGGGAAGAACAGAGACTATTACTGCAGGATCTCTACTAAATAGTGTCTCGGTGGGGTGGAAAGAACAGTGGCCCAGAGAGAAGGATGCGTATTCCAACTCCGCCATCTGCCAGCTTTGTGGCCGTGCAGGAACCCCTCCTCTAACCGTTCCATGCCCGTTTTCTCCGTGAGATAATGATGGGGCAGATGATGTCCAATCTGATCTGCCTTTCCTCTTTAATCCTGTGAGTCCTAGTAACAAATAATAATCTGAGCACTTGCTAAAGCCGGGAAGAAACACAATCAAAACCAGGTGGGAGTCCTGCTGCCCCGGGGCCTGGAGCCCAGTGTGTGAAGACAAGTATGATCAGATAACAGCCTGGGTGGGTGCACGTCCACAGTTGGGAAAGACCTCAGAAGGGAAACATGAGCAAGTGGTAGTGCCATCCAGGCTGGACATGGTGGTCAGGAGAGAGGCCCCGAGGAACGAAATGTGAGCTGAAAGGTGAAAGGCAAGGAAAAGCCATAGAAAAGCAAGGGGACAAAGCTGGCCAGGGCCATGCCAGCATGCCTGCCTAGATGTGGAGGCCAGTCTATGCTGGGCTGAGGACCGCATGGCAAGCTTCTGTATTTAGTCAAGAAGCAAAGGAAAGTGTGGAGCAACAGAAAGGGTCAAGGGGCTCCTAAGATTAAGGGCAGCAGTTTAAGCCGTGGGGCCCAGAGCAATCTGCTAAGGGAGAGGAGCGTGAACAAGAGGGTTGAGGGTGGCACATCCTCCAGAATCGATCCAATGTAGTGAACAGGAGTGGAAGAACGGGCCTCCCTGGAAGACTAGTGACCAGGAGCTGCTTGTCACTGCAAAGCAGGGGGCTGTGTTGAGCTGGAAGTGAGGGAAAGACCGTGGCAAGAATGAAAGTAGAATGTTTCTACCTGGGTCTGGACACCTCCTCCCTGACAGGTGCCACCCATTGGTCGCCCCTGCCCCTGCTTTTCTGGGTGCCTGCTGACTTTCTAACAGCTCAAGAGTCTCAGAAACAAACACACGTTTGCATCAGTCTCCATCTCACACCCCTTCTGTTATCAGTTGTCCTCCACCTCATGGCCAAATGCTTGAAGTAATAGCAGGAAAGGTATATGAGGGTAATTGTAGAAGCCCCTGTTGGCCAGACAGTAAGTACATCCTTTGTTCTTTCTGCGGCTGTAAGACGTCCCCAGTCCCACCCAGCATGTTCTGTAGACCATGTCTTTCTTCAGTTCTAAGAGTGTGTTTCATTATCTCAGTGGGTGACTCAACAAGAGAAGATAATATTTTTTCATCCCAGCTGACTCATTGAAATCACCTGACAGTTTTAAAAGCCTGGTACCTGTTCACCTGGGCCCACAAAGTCGCTGTTTTCATTATCTGAACTGTAGCTTGACCGTCACTAGGAAAGGTCCCCAGACGATTCTAATGTGCAGCCAATGTGGAAACTGATGTTGACCAGCTTATCCTTTGCTACTGTGCAAGTAGTCACGGAACAGTATTTTAAATAGACTCCTCAACACAGCCCAAGGGTGGATCTCAAATTCTCTTCTATGCCCCACATAAAATGAATCTAGAGATTCATGTAGAATGCTCATACATTGGTGGTGTAAATATAAGATGGTGCAGCCACTTTGGAAAAGAGTTTAGCAATTTCTTTAAATATTGAATATAAATTTACCATGTGACCACAATTCAACTCATAAGTCTAGACCCAAGAGAAGTGAAAGCCTACATATACCCATAGGCTTGCATATGCATGTTTACAAAATACCAATCATAACTGCTAGAAACACAACCCCAGTGGGTATGAGCAGATGAAAGCTGAACAAAATGAGTGTATCATATGAATAGATGGTGTAGCTCCACAGTCAGATTAAATACTACTTGGCAAGTTATGTGAAGGATTGATGAAAACAGCAATGTGAGAAGTCTCCAAAAAAACTTCAAATTTTAAAAGTTAAGCACAAAGCTCACTATTCTAATTTACTTGAAATGTCCAAAAGGCAAAACTGTGAAGACAAGAGGTAGATTTCTGTCTGGGGCTGAGGGAGGTAGAGGCAAGGATTCATGTGAAATTGGTGATTGCCTGAAGTACTAAAAGGTCTTGAGTTTTATAGTTAAAACAAGTGAATTATGGTATCAAGTGACATCTCAGTAAAGCTTATATTTGTCTGAAGGGTGAATAGAGTTGTGTTTAAATGAGATTTGAGATGAGTACAGCCTCACACCATGGACACATAAGCTCCTGTTCCTCAAGGATGCTGCAAGGCCATCCACTCCAGGTATTCCCCAGAATGACAGCATTGCTTGTTAGAATCACATTCTTGACCTGTCCCAGATCAAATGGTTCAGGAACTCTGCAGGTATAGACCAGCATTTGTCTATCAAAAAATCCCTCTGATTCTGAACACACTAGCTTGTGTGGAACAAGACACTCAGCCTGTGAGCTAGTCTCTCTTCCATCCCATCATGAGGGACGGGAATGACTTAGCTTTGAAATTAAAGGAAGAGACTAGGTATTCTTCATAACCAAAAAAACCAAACAACAACAACAACAACAAAAAAAAAACCAAAAACAAAACACAAAAAAAACCTTCAAAGACTAGTTTAAATGCCCACAATAGGTAAGTGGTTAAACAAATTTTTTAAATGTGCACCATGTCCAGACCACCACTAAACAGTAAGTACAATCCCGGTACAAGGATCTCATGCCACCAAGTGAACAGGGCCAAACCAAAGGTTTTGTTCATATGAAACATTGGAGCAGGTGAAACTTTCCTACAAGGACAGGAAGCAGACTGTGTCGGCCAGGGATTGGTGTTTGCAGAGGGATTTACCTCTGGGAGGCAGAGAGAACTCTTCTAGAGGATGGGAGTAGTCCATATTTTGATTGTGAGGATAGTTATATGGGTATTTGTTCATCAGGACTCAAAAATTATATGCTTAGACTGAGTGTGCTTTGTTATATGTTGTATCTCAATAAAGTTGATTTTGAAAGGAAAATAAACTGGACACAGTGACTCCTCCCCTTACAGGCTCTTTCTTTCTTTGGACTGCTCACCCCAAGATGGGGCAGAGGAGGGGGGACCCTGGTTCTGCCTTGTCTTCATGTGGGGGACCACACTTGCCTTTTCAGAAGTCTGTGGTGGCCTTCCCCCACCTGCTTAGGTGTGCATGGTGTTGCAGGTCAGGACAAGGTTACAGAGCACGCCCAGACTGTGTTGGTTGGGTGGCCTCAAGGACCCACATGAGGTAGAATATGAGCACCCAAATATGGGTGGCCATCAAATCCAAGATCTACAGTTAACCATGGAAATGAAGTAACATTTGATTTCCATTCATGCACTTGTTACATTTGTGTTCTCTAGTCAACTCTACTCAGTCCCCGAGAGCCCTGCTCACCAGAGTCACCCTGAGTTTGTTCTTCGCACTGTGGGTATGGGCAGCTGGTCCTGGCACAGAAGAGCCTCCTCAGTTCTGGCTCGGTGACAGGCCACCTTTGGAGTCTTCCTGAGGTTGACCATCTTCCTTCCTGCTTCCTGAAATCCCTGCAGCCTCTTTTAAGCAACACCCTGTCTGCTAGCTTTCAGTTTCCCATCTGAGTGAGATGATTGACACGGCAAAAGTCATCCTCATTCGCTTCTCCCTCTTGGAGGTTCTTTCTGCAGGTCCCTGAATGACTCACCCCTCATTCTCCAGGCTGCACAAGGATTGTGCATCTCACACTGCCCTGTCTACAAATGGCATCTCCCCCTCCTCTCCTCTCCCCTCCTCTCCCTTCCCTTCTTCTTCCTTTCCCTTCCCTCTCCTCTCTCCCCTTTCCTCTTCCCCCTCCTCCCCTCCTCTCCCTTCCCTTCCTCTCCTCTCCCCTCTCCTCCTCTCCACTTTTGTCCCTACTTCCCTTCCTCCCTCCCCTCACCTCTCCCCTCCTCCTTCTCCCTCTCTTTGTCTTTCCCTATGTGCTCCCCTTCTCCTCCTTCTCTCTCCTCTTTCTCTCTCCCTTCCCACTCTCTCCCTTTCCTTCTTCACCTCTCTGCTCTATCCCTTACCCTTTGCCATATGAAATCATGGAGTGAATGAGGCCATTTGCATAGCAACAGCCAGCCAGCCCCTTGATCAACACTTCCAGCCTTCACATTTATAAATTGCACTGAGATAATAGACTGGTAACCAGTGTTTTATTATGGCCGCCCAAGAACACCAAGAAATAATCTTTAGCAAATTACAATCTTTTGAATTTTGTTGCCAAATGCAAACAGCCTTGCAATGTTTGCCTGGTTTATATTTCCAGCATTCCATCCTTTTTATTTAGCATGAAATTGCTGTGGTAGGATGGAAAGGAAGAAGAAAATAGCAAACTTGCTTTCAGTGCCTGTTAAATGCCAAGCACCATGCTAGGCACCACGTACACCAACCCTATTTCATGTTCTTACCAACCTGTGAGACAACATTCTTTTTCTTCCCAAAGGTCACACAGCTGGAGAAGAGATCTATCATGAACTCAGCTGTGTTTGACTCCATAGTATAAGCTCTTTCTGTTTGTCATGAAATCTAAGCTATACAAAGTAGAAGCATGATGTTCAAAACTGAAAGAGAATAGGCCAACATATCTGTCTAGTGGTGAAAGAATAGTATTTCGAGATGGAAGGCTGCTATTTCTGAAGGCCAAGAGCCCCTCAGTCCAAAGGCTACCCATGACAAGACAGGAACATGTCTATGTAAGTAGGTGTGGAAGGAGCCCTGTTTTGGGGGGACCTGTGCCCAAACCCGGGATGATGTAAGCGTAGAGCCTCCCATCTCTCTCTTTTGATTACAGTGTGTAACAAACAATGTAATCTCTCAAGATCCTCCCACTTCTGAAGGCCAGGAGGCTAGCAGATGTTACAGAAGCAAAGCCGAGGTTTCCTTTCCTTCCCTCAGAGTTGCTAGATGTTGTCAGGGGTGTGTCTGGATGATGGCTTTCCATCTCCATGGAAGGACACATAAGAATGTGGAGGTCATGCCTCCAGCTGGCAGACAGGGACTTCAGATCTCAGTCTTGACTCACTCAACTAAGCACAGCCTTACCTCTGCCCTATAGGGGCCCTGAAGGGAAGATGAGTGAGCACATTTGGAGTGTGGGCTTAGCTGCTCAATATCTAACTACTCCATGAGAGAACTGGTACTTCCATGGAGCAATTTTTACTCCTTTAGGCCCATTACAGATTTAGTGTCAGGAGAGCAGCAAGAGCAGAAGGTGCTGTCTCTGACCTACAGCACCTCCACTCTGGAGAAATTAGAGAACCAGTTGGCCTCATGCTCACAATTACGAGTCTAGGCCTAAGTGCTGTGATAGGACATAGACTATGGTTTCAAAGACAGGTACCACTGTGGGCTTAAGTAGAGGAGTCCCAGGAGAGGTGGGAAAAGACATGGATAGAACTTGAAAAGGAAGAGGACAGAAAGAAGAAATGATAGACAGGACAATGCCCCACCCCAAAGATGGTCACAATGTGAGGTGCTAGAGGCCTAGGACTTCAGCGTCTCAACTTGGAATGAAAGACAAGTGGCATAACTCAACACAGTCTACATGGGTAAGTGAGAATTTAACCTTAGTTATGCTGACTCCTCCTTTTGCTTCCATAATATCACTCTATAGGCCACAGAGTAAGGGTGTCTGCTTTTGAGGGACAGAAATTTGTGACCAGGACTATGGTAGGTAGAGGTGATGTCAAGTTGCTTGTGTTCCCCAGTCTGAAAACACAATTCCTGAGTCATCTCAGTGATGACAGATCACGCAGCAGGAAGAGGCTAAAGAGTCACGCCCGAAGAGCGAGGAAGAGAGCCCACAGGTACAGAAAGGAGCTCATGCACTAACAGGACACTTGAACCATGCAGGAGTGCTTAAAGCTGGGCCTGGGAGTGGCTCAGTCACCAAAGTGTTTGCTGTGCATGCTGGAGTATCTGGGGTCAGCCTCCACAGCCCACATACAAAGGCTGGACATGGAGGCACACACCGTAACCCAGTGCTGGAGAGGTGAAGACTGGTGGGTCTCAGGCGCTTGCTGGCTAGCCAGCTTGCCTAAGCAGCAAGCCCCAAGCCAGAGGAAGACCTGTCTCAAAAAACCAAGTGAGCAGTGCCTGAGGAAGAATGACACCCAAAGTGTCCTGTGACCTCCACATACTGCACACACACACACACACACACACACACACACACACACACACACACTCACGTGTGTAGAGAATTGTGAAAATCTTGTTCCTTACCCTATTTCCTTCTCTCAGCTATTTCCATACTGACTACTGAGCATGACCGTTGGCTTTTCTAACAGTGCCTTCTGGGAGTGAACGTTCAGAGTCACCAGAAACAACAAAGTTGTGCTCTGAAGAGGTTGTAGCTCCAACAGCGGCTGACACAGGATACCACGGAAGAGAAGCCAAAGTTCCTCATCAGAAGGACAAAGCAGAAAAATCTGAGGATTAATGAGGATGGAAAGAAAGGCTGGAAGGACCTGGAACCCTGAGAGGAATGGATCCATGGAAAAGAATGTGTAGGGCACTTCTGAAAGCTGTGTGACCTGCCTGTCCCTGTTCAGTTTCAGACATTGGTAGCACCTGGCCAGGCCTCCTAAGACGTTACACCTGTGGTCTCAGGAATGTACGTACATTCCACCTTCTCCAAGCAGTCCCTCTTGTCAATCCCAGCAGGCTGATCACTGCTTCTACCCCACTGAGTCCTTGCTGTGCCATTTCACTGCTGGGTAATTAAAAGAAATACTGCTTTTTGTCATTGCATCATATAAATCAGTTGGTAGTTAAATACTGGTGTGGAACACTCTGATGTGCCTGTACTCCTGTGACCCAGCATGAGAGAACAGTCATTCAGCTAACACTGAGGTCTGAGGATACAGTGTGGCCAAGACACAGTCCATTTAGAGGATTTGCCATCAGGCGTGGAGGAATTAGGAAGGCACAGCTCAGTTGGTGCTGTCTTCGCAAATACATGCAGGGCATTGTGTGCACCCAGAAGAACCTGGCCAGACTGGACAACCAGGGAAAGTGCCTGCAGGTTATGCTGAGAACCGAGAGTCATCAAATAAACCACAGATGAACCAACTTCTAGAAAGGCCTAATAAGGATTGAGGTTTTATGGGCAGGAAGGCATCTTCACAAAAAATGAATCCTGCCTTTTCTGTAGAGACCAGTGGTTCTCAACATGTGGGTCATGACCCCTCAGGTTCAAATGACCCCCTTCACAGGGGTCACCTAAGACCATCAGAAAGCAAAGACATTTACAATATGATTTATAAGAGTAGCAAAATTACAGTTATGAAGTAGCAACAAAAATAATGTTATGGTTGGGGGTCAGCACAACACGAGGAGCTGTGTTAAAGGGTCACAGCATCAGGAAGGTTGAGAACCACTGGTCCAGAGGATGTAGACTGAGCCGATCCTTCCTTTGTGGTGCAGACAATGCAGTGACCGGAAGGATCAGTTAAATACTACAGATGTTCAAATTTGTTTCTTTGTTTTGCTTTCTATCAAAAATGCTATTATACTTTTTATTTTTTTAAAACCACTGAAAAATACAAAACCCTTGCTTAGCATGTAGGCCATAAAAGTTCAGAGAATGGGCCAGATGGTCCCTGTGGGTTGTGGATTTGTGCCCCTGACCTACATTAAGTGGGCAAAGCCTGACATGCAGTACCAGGATGTGAGAGATGAGTGTTTTTAAAAGATAAAAATCACAGCAACCTTACAAATAGAAGGAAAACGTTCACCAAAGATTTTATGTATTCCATTAATTGAGGACCCAGGAAAATGTTATAACCAATTCAAAGGAAAACATTTTTGGGGGTGGGTGGGCAGTGAACCTAGTGATAGCAAACACTCTACCACTAAACTATAGCCCCAGCTCCAAAGGAAAGTCTCTCTCTCTTTCTGTCTGTGTCTCTCTCTCTGCCTCTGTTAGGACTTCTCTCTCGAAAGTCCCTACTGAGGCCTCTGCTTTTTGGCTACTTTAACAATTTTTGCACAGAAATCACAGGTT